GACTCAAAAATGGGGCCAACATCAGTCACCTCCTCTACATGGATGACATCAAGCTGTATGCCAAGACTGAGCGAGACATCGACTCACTGATCCACACCACCAGGATCTACAGCACAGACATTGGGATGTCATTCGGACTAGAGAAGTGTGGTCGGCTGATCACAAAGAGGGGGGAAGTGATCCGCACAGAAGGAGTCTCACTCCCACAAGGAACAATAGCAGACATTGAGGACAGTTACAAGTACCTAGGTATACCACAAGCAAATGGCAACCTCGATGAGGCCACAAGGAAAGGAGCCACAGCTAAATACCTCCAACGAATAAGGCAAGTCCTGAGAAGCCAGCTCAATGGCAAGAACACAATTTGTGCGATAAACAGCTATGCCCTGCCAGTAATCAGATACCCTGCTGGAATAATTAGCTGGCCAAAGGAGGAGATAAAAGCCACAGATATTAAGACTAGAAAGCTACTAACCATGCATGGAGGGTTCCATCCCAAATCCAGCACCCTGAGACTGTACACGAGCCGCAAGGAAGGAGGCAGAGGACTAGTGAGTGTGAGAACCACTGTCCAGGACGAAACAACTAAGATCCATAAATACATCAGGGACAAAGCCTCAACAGACAATGTGCTCAGTGAATGTCTCAGACAACAGGGAACGGAGGTTGAGGTGCCAGAGATACCATCATGGGAGGACAAACCCCTACATGGGATGTACCACCAGCAAATAACCCAAGTAGCTGATATCAGTAAATCCTACCAATGGCTGGAAAAAGCTGGACTCAAGGACAGCACAGAGGCCCTCATCCTGGCCGCCCAGGAACAGGCCCTAAACACCAGAGCAATAGAGGCCCAGATCTACCACACCAGACAAGACCCAAGGTGTAGGTTGTGCAAGGAAGCCCCTGAGACAGTCCAGCACATAACAGCAGGGTGCAAGATACTGGCAGGGAAAGCGTACATGAAACGACACAACCAAGTGGCAGGCATAGTGTACAGGAACATCTGTGCAGAATATGGACTGGAAACCCCGAGATCAAAGTGGGAAACGCCCCCAAAGGTGGTGGAGAACGCCAGAGCTAAGATCCTGTGGGACTTCCAGATCCAGACAGACAGAATGGTAATGGCGAACCAACCAGACATTGTCGTAGTGGATAAACATCAGAGGAAAGCCGTTGTGGTAGATGTAGCAATACCAAGTGATTGCAACATCAGGAAAAAGGAGCATGAGAAACTGGAGAAATACCAGGGCCTCAGGGAAGAACTGGAGAGGGCCTGGAAGGTGAAGACCACAGTGGTGCCTGTGGTCATCGGGGCCCTCGGGGCAGTAACCCCCAAACTGGAGCAGTGGCTACAACAGATCCCAGGAACAACATCAGACATCTCAGTCCAGAAATGTGCAGTCCTTGGCACAGCCAAGATACTGCGCAGAACCCTCAAGCTCCCAGGCCTCTGGTAGAGGACCCGAGCTCAGAGGATAAGAACCACCCGCGGTGGGTGAGAAGGAAATTTTTTTTTTAATATATATATATATAAAGTTTACTGTGATCAGATTGTAGTGACACTGATTCTAAGTCTAATTAGTTTTAATTTAGTGTTTTCTTCATATTAAATTTTTGACTAGTTCAAAAGTAAATATTTTTGAAATACGATTGTAACATGAAAGAATAAATTTATATGTACACTATAAGGGATTGGTCAATGTTATGTTGACCATTAAAACACCATTAAACTTTAACTTAACGTTAACACAATCAAAATGTGCACGATCCATAATTAATTGCTATATTATAAAGGTAATATAGGATTTCACATATTAATAGCATAAAACAGTATAATTCCCTGCAATAGGATGTGATTCAGTCTGATACAGCCTTATGAGATAGCAGTTTCATTTCCTGTTTTTTTTTTTTTGTTATTTTGCATCTGGGCATCCACAAACAACTGAAAATTCTTGGAATCATAACTTTCTAAGGTGCTTGAAATAGTTTTCATGTGTTTTGAGTGAACTTTCAGAGTTAAAGGGTTAACGTAGTCTGTGCAGAATTGCAGAATTAATCGAATCAATTGCAGTAAACCTTGGCTGCTACACAATATCCATCTTACACAACAAATCCCTATCCACACTCAGAAATATATGAAAAGATTAAGTTTCTTGACTTCTGTGGTGGAACTGTATCATATCTGCTTCACAGTCAAAGTTTTATTATTATTTTTCTTCTGGTTCATGTTTATACCATCATACACTGTGAGAACAGCACAGAAATCTCTTAAGCAATAACTCTTGTTGTCTTGTTTCTAAGCTAACGTTCCCAAAAACAGCTCCACCTCCACTGCAGCCCAGATTTATATAATAATTCAAATGGAAATAAGAACTCTATATTTTGTAATTCCCATTATAGGAAGACTGAGACCTTAGGTAGAAACATGAAGATATGCTTAGCAACATAATAAACTTCTGGTCTGCTGCTCTTTTCTTTTCCCCTGCTGGGTTTAATTTTTGACCTTTGCATATGCTGTTTACATCACGGAAAGTACTTATTAATATTTCAATACCCAGCTATGAGCTTGTGCAATGAGGAAGCATAAAATATCTATATATAGTTGATTTTACACATATTGTGATTTGATAAATATAGCGCAATATTATATATATATACACACTGCTGGCAGTTTTGTTCTGTAGATCTGAGACTTTTTCACTCTCAGTGACAATGACTATGTGTACGTACAGCAATGGTGTGTGTATGTGTGGCCAATGCACCTGGCTCTCTGCTGCCTATGCAGCTGCCTGCCAAGATCAGGATGGGCATTTAACCCCACAGCCTTGTTCAAGGCCTATAGGATAAATTAGAGCACTAATAATAGAAGAAGCTTCTAGGCTAAGGTAGGGGAGTTATGTTCCAGCTTGTGTGTGTTAATTATCTCTGCGTGTGCGTGCGTACGTAGGTGTGTGAATTTAGAACCTCATGCAGTTAAAACCACTGACAGTGGGAGTTTAATCTTTGCTTGTGAGACCTTGAAGAAATTGATTTTATTTGCATAACTCAAAGATGCTGAATTTATTTCCTTCATTAGAAAGCATTTATATGCTATTTACATAAATAAATTATTACAAATAATAGTGTTGTTTATAATTTATTATTTTGATGCTTTTAGATCCAGGATTTTTGGTCTCAGATCAGATGCTTATGCTTTCGTCTAAATATCTGTTGTTAATATCAGTGTCTTGTTTTGATCTAGGACACTTGTACTTAAGCACCTGGTATTGTTTTTGTTGTGTGTAAACTAATATTAATGAGTCACACAGGAACTGTCAGCTATGCTGTAGCATTTTGTTTACTTGTGTCCATATTTACAAGATCAATAATTACACAATAAGCCTCATAATGATTCTTTGCGAATATTTACATCCCTTTCAGCAGCTGAGTGGACAACAGTTTAAGCAAATGAAAGATCATGGATAAAATGGACTTCAGAGCATAACAGTAGTTTAAAAGTGACTGCTCTCAACTTTTTGAGTTTGTTGAGGTAATAAATCTCAGTAAATGGTATGAAAAAGTTGCTACATTGAGCAGAAAACTGACTCTAACAGAGTAGTTCAATGAGTCTCTCTGTAAATGCTCCTTAATAATTTCTGAGTGGAACCAACATCAAGAGTGTCCAGGACAGACAGAGAGACTTCATACCAAATGACTCATTCCAATAAGCTTCTAAGCTTTTTGGAACGAGCTTCCAATAAGCTCATAGATCAAGTGTCTGGAAAAAAAAATCAATGAATCTATGGCTTAAGATTAGGGTGATGGGAATGAGGACTTCCAACTTCAAAGAATTAGAGTTTATGACCAAAAACAAAACCACGTGTTCATCTGTTATTGTTTATTTATATTATTTGAAGTATAATTATTGATAAATTAACATATATCAAATAATAATATGTTAGAGAAACATACAAGCTGCCATCATGTGTTGTAGTTTCTTTTTCAGACAATTGTATAAAGGCATTTGTAGAACCCCCCTCAACCACTACCCCCCAAAAAAACAACAAAAACTTCAGGATGTCTTTTTAAATGACCAAGGTTTATAAATAACAACTAACAAATTATAGTCAGAACTGTGACTAAACTACTAACAGCTTACTCTCCTTATTGAGATTCTTGTTTCTCTCTGTCCATCAGAAACACAAAGTGGATCTGTTCTACAAGGTCCGACACGTTATGATGGAGCTGATTGACTTGAGGAGGCAGCTGCTTTCTGGTCACCTCACACAGGACCAGAGCAGAGACGTCAAGAGACACATCACTGTCAGACTCGACTGGGGCAACGAGTGAGAAAACATCTTTCATCCTTATGAAAAAACTTATTTTACTCACACTGATGTACATAAAACTTTTAAACTTTCAATGGATTTAAAGTCATGACTCATAACTGATCTTAAAATTGACTGAGAGTCAATTTTAAGATCAGAACCATTGAAAAAGTTTCCACAGTAGTTTTGATTTAAACTGGTAAACTTTCTCAGCACTTAAAGTCAGGAGATGAGTGTCTGCCCAGATCCCTGCATTGGGTAATAGAAGTGATTTTCAGAAGCTGATGACTGAAGCATATTACCAGTAGTTGGAAAGATTTATGAAGTCAGTGAAAGGCTGATGGAAAACAGATGGCATGGAATAAAACTCCTGTGTGCCTTCAAGTTGACTATATCATGAATTTGATTTAATTACTCTAGAGGTGCAGATTACTACAGAGAAAGAAAATGTTTGTGTTTTCGCATATTATTTCCTACTTCATCTTCTAAAAGTTGCATTCTTCTAAGTATATTCTGTTGGATTTGCATTTTTAGCTTCCACAAATTAATTTTTGACTTTATCTGTTCTTTAAACATGGTTGAAAAGATATGTAAATTCTGAAATGTTGAGACAAAAAAGTCTTGAACAAAAGAGTGATCTGGAAAACTTCAATCTAAAGACTTAAACAAGTCTTAACTTGTGAAAGTGCTTTGGTTGCTACATTTAGAAGAAAGAATTCAGATAAACTGCCAACAAACTAGTGGACCAAGTTACAATAACTCAGAAAAGAAAACATTTATTCAAGTCACTTCTGTTATAGCTGTAATATTTCTTTGCACAAACTGAGATCTCCTTATTGACAGTGATTTTCACACATCATTGCAAACAGGGCTCAATGAGCAAACCAAATACTTTTCGACCACACTTCCTCAAAAACATCTTAATGAGGGGGCTGCTTATCTTGTTGGGCAGATCAATGCTAATGCAGTTTACAGCTGGTGGGAACTCAGGAATAAAAGGAGCTACAGAAATGAAAGTTAATTCATTTCAAGGATATATTGATATTGTGATATTCGTATATCACAATACCAATATATTGATCACAATATCAAAGGTTGTTGTGAAGTCACCGTATGTTATCATACATCAGTCTTAACACATAATACCATAGGTTTAATATTGTCAGGATAAACATTAATATATGAGTTTGGTGACAAATTGAAGTATTCATGATTAATACAATTAGTCTAGAAAAGTTTTAATATCGGAATAAACTATTTGGAACTGAAACATTTGAGTGTTTGAGCTAAAATGTAAAGATTTATATATTAATTTTGTTTCCAATGAAAGAAAATTAGAAAGGCATATTCATTGTGCATAAATCTTAATAATACCATGTCCTAAAGTTTCAAGGCAACAAATTAGGTGCCTTTTCTCCCCATGTGGGTTTCAACTGCCACCCTATTCTTATCCTGAGAAACCATTTCACCAACCAAGACATTTATTCACCATTTCTTCTAAGTTTGGATCAACGTCTTTAATTTGCAATCAAGCAGGCTGAGTAATGATTTAGGAGTTATAAAACACAGGCAAAGATATTTTTTTGACAATGTTAGAAATGATGATGTTCAGGTGTGATTGCTTTGGAGGTTTGTGTATCTTGGTCTATATCTAAATCGTCTTCTATAACATTTAAAACTGAAATCTTTTCGTGCATTTTTTTGTCTTTTTTTCCCCAGACACTTGGGTTTGGACTTGGTCCCAAGGAAGGAGTTTGAGATGGTTGATGAAGACCAGATAAGTGTCTCAGATTTGTATAAAATGGTAAGACATTTGTCCAGGTCATTAAGTTGCTACTGTTAAAGTTGTTGCCTCACAACCCTTTCAGACACAATATCACACAAAGGGTGAGTTTATCCTACCATATAATCTTCCTATCATAGATTATATGGTAGGAAGACAGAAAAATGCTTCATCTGTGCCAAGACACTTGTTATTTAAATGAAGTCAAATAAAAAAAACACAGTTTGAAGACTGTGTGTAAAAAAGCAGCTCAAATATTAACCCAGCCAACAGACTACACTACACTGTTCCCCTTAAATATTAACCAACATACTTTTTTTCTGATCATTTGAACAGGCATAAATGCAGCCAGAGCAGCTGCAGATGGCTGCATTAGTTCATAGCTATGCATGGGCACTGTGGTTGATGCTGAGGTCATACATGAATAACAGATGTATGACCATATTTGTTGAAATTCTGTCACATCATATTGTCATAATTCCGTGTTACAAAACTTGTGGTTCCTTGTAAATGTTAGTTTGAAGGATCTGTCTACTCCATTCATATTTACTTCAAGCAACCAAATTGTATGAAGAGGCAGCAAGCTTTAATGAATTAACAACTGTCCCTGAAAATACAGGTGAAATGCAGATCTATATTGACTTGAATTCTTCTGGGTTTATTTTTCTATTTAAGAAAAAGAAAAGTTTAATTTCAATACAAGAAAAGTCTATAAATCATTTCACGGTACTTCCTAAATTGTTATTACCAAAGGTTTTTGGCATTCAGGGATGTCAAGTAAGGCTATTTGTTTTCAAAGGAATCAAATTCTTATTTTAGTTTGTTAGTTAAACTGAGACATGCACCTAAGACCAATATTTTGATATTACACTATTCAAGTACTAAAGATTTAAAAATATGTGTCCTGAATAAATAAAACTTATTTTTAAAAATAATATTTCTTAATGTCTGCTGTCTTATTACAAGCTTTGAACATGATTTTTTTTATAGGGAGGTCACGCTTCCAGTAAAATCCTAAAAACTTGATCAATAGTAATAAAAAACATCTTTCATCCTGACCATATGAAATCAAACATTTTTTTTTAATTTACATTTTTAAGTTAAAAAAACAAAAATAACCCAGGAAGGTTCAATTAGAAGGTTAAACCATTTGATTTAGCTGAAACACTAAATAATAATCTCCAGTGTTTTTATGCTGTGTCAGAATTATATTAATACTTTATTTACCACTTATCCATGTTGTGTTGATTTAACACCCAACTGTTCTTGTTGTCTCTGTTTTCTTGCATGCTGGTTTAGGGCATAGATTTGAAATATTTATTTGCAGAAGGAACACTAGACTGATATTAACCATTATTAATCAACCCAAGAAGTAAACATGGAGTTATTTTTTCTGTAAATGTCCTTTCTTCTGATTGATATTTGAAACAGTGAATCCATACAAATATTTGGTAATGCTCCAGTACACAGTTTATTTTACATTAAATGATTTGAACTTATTTCCTGTGGTATAACCGAATAAAATCCTGTTGTCTGCCGTCTGCCTATAAATCATCAACCTTTTGAAAAGTTAGGAATTGATATGACTATTTTTGTTGCTCAAAACCCTGTCTGTTCAATGTTTCTCTTTTTTTTTATTTGAAAACAAAACAAAAGTAATATTTAATCTAAAATGAAGGTAAACTTTTTTCTGGAAACAGTCAGATGTTATACTTAGTTACTAAAATACAGAACCAAACCAAGCCATTTCCCTTTTGTTTCAATTCATTGTGTTGCTTAAGTTTTCACAACCATCACCAGGCATAAATTGGCCTAAAATGAAGCAAGGATGTTAATGTGCAGACTGCAGCCATGTGCTGGTTGTTTCATCAGAGTCCTTCAGGTCACTTCAAAACTGCTGAACCGACGATCTGAACTAATGACTGTAAAATGACTCTCTGTATCCGTACCTGTACGGCCAGTTTTGTGGTTCTTTATGATTCTGTTCCCAAAAGCATCAGACTAAACGTTTTCAGCTATTAGTCAGGTGAACTGTGATGTATTTGGGAACATTTTCTAAATCAATGTTTTCTTATTATGAAGCTAAGGTTATCATTTCCAAACTACAGAAGTTGCTAAGCAATTCAAAATCTTTTATAATCATGTTTCTTTTCAAGGGCACACTGAGTCATGTTATAATGGTTAAAGTTAAGGATGTGTCTTATTTTTTTGTCATTTTTATGCTATCTGAACAAACTTTAGTTTGTAGTTAGAATATCTTTTTCCTCCTGACCTACCATTATGAAAAACCTATTACAAAATAACTGAAGCTAATTAAAGTTGATGTGACGGCGGTTTGAGACACATCCTTGAAGATTCCTGGTTTCTCAGAAAAACGTTAAGTTTTTGCTTAATTCAAAACAGCTCAACAGGGTTAAACAATCACCAATGCTTCTGTAATGCTTTTCTTCTGTTGCTTAGAGACTGAGCTGAAATTAAGAAACAGGGAAACTGAGGAGGACTAAACATATGAGGCTCATCCATGTGAAGTAACTCTGAGTTCGTTAGAGCAAAATGATTTTCGACGAATGCAGTGTATTTTTGCTCTCCGTCTGCAGATGTATTTAAGATGTTTTTTGCTCCCTGACTTTTGACTGGACCTCAGTCTCTGAATTATGCACTTCACAAATACAGTTTAAAAAAATACAGTTTCAGAACAAGAAAATGCCTTCATTTCAGGAATGCTTACCAGTTTATTCTTTGTTACCAACAAAAACTAGAGACATAAAATTGTAAAAACCTTTCTATGTTCATGTAACATTAAGCTGAAATCTTTTGGTTTCATGAGTAGAGAATCAGGCTTTTAAAACAGATAGCTGTTATTTAATGAAGTAAATACTCAATGGATACATCTGAATACCAGTTATTAATTCTTTATTATTTCCTTGATATTTTTATAAAACACATATAGAAGTGGTTAAATAAATAACTGGCATCCATTGAAAACGCAGTCCATATTAATGAAATAGGAGGTGTTTGTTCGTGCAGCTGTGCGATAAGCACCAATAAAATTGTATTTGTCTGTTATTAGTGTCAATCTTTAGTACACAACCCATTCTGATTCATTAAAACTTAGTTTTAGGATGAAACAAGCGAAAATGCTAGCAGTCTGGTTCTGGTTTCTCTCGGATTGGAATAATTGGAGCCATCTTGTCAGTGACGGCCCTTACTCCCATTCATCAAACAGCATTTGACTTATTGCTTCCTCTCTACTCAAAAAAAACCACTTGACAAATTAAGGAGACAAGTTGGAGTAATGAGTCTCTGAGGTATTAAAATATTTTCATCATCTGAGGGAGCGTCTGTAGAGCAGAGGGAAAAAAGGGAACTTAGGTTGGAAGGAGCAGAGATCACAAAAAGCAGCAAGTCAAAGAGATGAGGAGAAAATAAGCAGAGAAGAAAAATGTGAAGAAGAGAAAGTGAGAGGAGAATGGATTCAGAAAAAGAACCATGTTCAAATAAAATAAAATGAAAATCATAAAAGTGTGTGTGTGATATAGCAGAAGATTAAACTACACAAGTAGAATAAACCTGATGTTTTCTGTGTCTTTTACAGCATCTGTCCAGCAGACACAGCGTCCAGCAGAGCACCACACAGGTAATGTTTCCATTACTGTCTGTATGAAGTATGAAATCTTGCATGTCTGGCAATACTTCAGATTAAACAAAAACTAAATATTTTGTTTAGTACACATGAAGTTTTAAGGTAAAACTGAGGCTTCACATCATCACGTCATATTTACCCAACAGTTACACTATTGGGTAAATATTCAGATTATATAATCAGTTGCAAAGGACATTTTAAGTATTCTAAAACCTTTTCTCATGCATGAGCTTTTCAATTTTCACACTCTCATAAAAATCAGATATTACTAAATAAACTCCATACTAAACTCCATTTAGTAGGCCATAAAGTGGCTATTCAGAACATAAATGCATTATTTACCAAATACTGCAGTCCAACTTGTCCTTTATGGGTGATGATTCTGATCCCAAAGTTTTGTTTGTGTATAAAATCCCAAAAGCTTAGAAGCTCTACAGCGATGAGTTACCCCACTGTCAACTTTAGTTGTAAAATGTTACATTAAATGTGGTCACGGAAGTTAAGATTAACATCAGACAATCTAATCTTGATGCAGATCAATAGATTAATAAAGCTATGTCATAAATGATAAAATTATTTCAAAAACAGATTCAAGTTTTAAGAAACAGATACAATAGTTTAAAACTTTACTTAGATAAGCACCAGACGGAGCCCCAAAATATGAAATTGATCTTGACATAATAAAACAAATTGTCAATGTTTTATTTTTTTTCAGGGCGAGAATAGCCGGCAGAGACACGGAGAACCATGCAGGGTTCCGGTACCACACCACCTACTGGTCAATCTGAAGAGCTTCACCTACAACAGCATAGGAGAGGACACAGACATATTTTTCTCTCTCTATGATCTGAGGGAGGGAAAGACCATCAGGTATGAATACATTTTAATTATTTAAGTTTTATTTTGTTTTGTAGTTGTTTGTTGATTAGTAAATGAAAGATCACTCAAAATGACCCCCATGTCTTGGTTGTGTTTAAATACAGAAGTCTAAAAACACATGCCATTCAAATGATTGATTATCTAAGTAAGTCAGACTTTCACTTTTGAATTTTAATCATTTTTTAAATGTAAAAAACAAAGACAATATTTGAGATACAATGAACATTTCTCTTATGAACATATGGCTGTATTATAGTAATGCATTTATCAGACAATGGCATTAAGTGTCGTTTGTGACTGGAATAGATCAGATTGATCTGATTTTGAAATGGGAACTGACTGCAAAAAAACATGTTGATTATTTTTAATAAAGTTTCAAATTAGTTGAGTTTCTCAGGGAAGGACACATCCATCAGTTCTCCGTGAGGAAATCTGAACGGTTGTTCATGCATGAAATTGTTTCACTGATTTAACTTTAACCAAGCTCCATTTCCTTTACAGAGTTATTGCTGGTATTGCATGCATGAATGCGATTTGTGGGAAACTTGGTTAAAACCATTCAGCTCAGTGATGATAAGATGATGAAATTTTTACAGGAAGTTGTAATGTCTATTGATATTGCAAACTTTTGTGAGGCGATTATAAAATGGAGCTAACTGTTCGACAGTCAAATCATAAAGTGACAAATCATGGATGTGGGTGATAAAGCATGATGAAATTGCCGATAATACTTCATTGTAATTGAAAAGAGAACATTTCTACAGCCTTTAAATCCATAACTAAGATTTCTCATGACTACTCACACTACAGTTGCAATGATTCAAAGGAAGAACTGCTGACAGAAGCTGAAGAAGAAAGAAGATTGCCCAAGCCAAAATTTGTAAAAGATGAAGAAGCCTTGAAATCAGTCATGTTCACAAAGACAGGACGTCTCAAATGAAATAATTTAATCCAGAAAACCACACTGACAGCCATTATCCACAAAAGAAGAAAACATGGAAACGTGCTGAACTTTCCCAAACTCCAAAAGCACATCAACAATTCATCCAGGAGCTTTCAAAGAAACCCAGAACATGTCTAAACTACTGCAGGTCTCACTTGATTCAGTGAAAGTCATTGTTAATGATTCAGTAAGAAGAAACAAGAACAACACAAGAACCTGCCTTTTATTCTATTTTCCAAATATTATTTAGTAAAATTTTATTTAGTAAAATATTCTGTACATTGACAAGACAAAAGGTAGTTTTATACAGTGTGACATGACAATGGTGATAGTGTGATGGTCTGCTGCTTTTCTGCTGTAAGTCTTGAAAAACGTGTAATTGATGGAACCATGGCTTTCTCTCTTTACCAAAAAATCCCAAAGGAGAATGCCTGGCAATTACTTTGTAACCTTATGCTCCAGCATACTTAAGGCTATGCAGCAGGACAATAATCAAATGCACAACAGAGAAAACACTTCACATCTCTCGGTGGCCCACAAGCAAACAAAATGAAGGTTTTGGAGTCATCAAGTCAAAGTCCAGACTTAAATCCACATGACCTGAAACAGGCCCTCCACTGTCACTGGGTTAAAACTCTGGTGAAATTAAAATTGTGTCAACTAGTTGTTAGATTTATGGGACAATTACTTATTCTCATAGGGCAAGGTTTGTTTGGATAGCATTCTCCCTGATACATTATTTATTATATTGTTATTTTTGCATAGTACTTTTTATCTTGAATGTTAAAATTATGGAGACAAAAAGCAATAACAGAATAAATCTGGAAGCAAAAACTTTTTACAACACTAGGTGTTATAATCATTACCTCCATTGTTCCCTGCATTCACAGAATATTGTCCTTTTCTACCACTTTGCACTTTAGTGCTCTTTCCCATTATGCACCCCTCCCCGTCTCCTATCTCCTTAATAAAGTAGAACAAGTAATAGCAAGTGGCCACACAAAACTTGTTGTTAATAATATATGATCCCCCACCTCTCTCCTCCCTTCCTAATGAATGCCCATCAATTATACATTCTTAGAGAAAACACAATGCTAACAGAAGAATAATAGTTAACGTCAGTATAGAGGCTGATGTGGGTCAGCTGTGATGGTGTGACTGCGTGTGTGTGTGTGTGGGTGTGTGTGTGTGTGTGTGTGTGTGTGTGTGTGTGTGTGTGTGTGTGTGCGTGTGTGTGTGTGTGTTTGTTTGTTCTCCTGCAGAGAGGAGGATAACAGTCCATTAATGTAATAAATAGGGGCACAAGAAACGCTCTGTCATTTTATCTTCTTTTTGCTTCTTTAATTTCGCTCGTTACTGCAAACCAGCTAAGCGGTTCTGCCCTCTCATAACAAATGCACAGCTGAGCCCACAGATATTTTTGACCTTGAGGGCCTATTTTCTGTCTCTGTCATAATTCAGCATACAGGACACTAATAGCAGGACCTGATCCTCTGAGGTGCTCAGATGGGGGGTTCATGTCTGTCTTTCTCTCCAAAACATCCTAAAGCCATCAAACTCAACATTTCCACAAGGACTTTTTCCCTTCAAAGCAGTTCAACCTATAAAAGTATTTGTGCAACTAAACCTGTAATCACCATTCCTTTCTCTTTTTCACTTTCTGTAGTGTCCCTGTATAACAGTATAGATTCATGCAGTTTCATTTTTTGAATGGAAAGCTGTCAGATCAGTGCATTTATTTTGGTCAGTGTGACTGGGTTTCCTCATAATAACAGGAGCTCAAAAATGTTAGATTTTAATTTAAACAGTCTTTTTTTGAATTAAGTTTTATGGAATTTAAATATTTCCCAAAAACATGATGTAGAATGAGATTCTACATATTTACAGAGGGCACCTGAATATAAATGCATGCCACAAATTTTAGATTTTATTTATAGATTTTCTTGATAAATACAGCATAAGTGTTTTTGTCACGAGGTTCCTCTGCAGACATGGCATATTTAGTTCTGTTTGTGCATCTCTGTATATTGTGTATTGTGTGTGTTTGTGGGTGTGTGTGTGTGCATGCGTGTGTGAGTGGTGACTGAGCACAGTGAGAATTCATCTGATTTGGTGCATCCATGCATACTGTTGCGTGCTTTACTTTGTACATTTGAGTGAGTGTCTGTATATTCACACTTGATTTCTTCTGTGCTTGCATACATTAGATTCAATCAGGAATTGTTCTGAATGCACCTTGTTTTGTTGCATTTTTATGTTCAGCTCATCTCCGTTTTTCTATGTATGCGTGTCTGTCGCTGATTTCCTTGCACTATGCAGAACAAAACATGTTGAAGAGAGTGCCAGAAACAAATAACTTTAAACATGTATTTAGCAGCATCTTGTCTGGCTGTTACTTATTTTGGCTGAATATCATCTGCAGCATCCTTATCACAGTCACTTCCTGAATCAATAAAAATCCACCAACAACACAGGAGCAAAGATTGACTGTATCTCAGTCTTTCTTCACGCCTTATCACCTCCGAATTCCCACTTACCAACACACACACACAGCAGTCACACTCTCCTACTATTTATGAACAAAAACATATTTATTTTCTTTTGTTGTATTTGTTTGGGCTGCAATATCACTGGGGGATTGGAATAAATTGTTTCCGTTTAAAGGCGGCAACATAGCGTGTGTTGAGGGGGTTTGTTGGCCTTTGCAGGAAACTTTGAATTTCAACATTAACAGTAAGCTGAGAGTAGCTTGTTTATAATAGTATGTTTGTAAAAAAGAGTACATGAAGATTACTTCACAGCATTCAGATGTTATTTTTAGTAGGCTGGGAATATTGTGTTCATAGGGAAGTTTAGCTAAGGATAATCTACTGTACTATTTCCAATTTCAGATGGCTTATTTTACAACCTACTGTCTGCTGTGTTTCTTTGACTTCATTATGCTGTTTGTTTGCTATTGTTTTCTAACAAACCATAAAGGTAGACTCTTATAATTAGGTACATTTTGAAGGCATGTGGTTGCACTGATTTTTTGTTGTTGTTCTAATAAGCGTAAAAGAGACTAAATACAAATTTTAACTCAAACTTCTTTTTTTTTTTTTACTTACAAAATATGAAAAAAAACAGGATTTTTTTTTATGTCCTTCACATTATGTGAAGGACAATTACTTGCATTATGTTACTTCAATTATGTTCTACTACGTGTTGGTGCATCACTTAACTTCCCATTAAGCAAATGTTTAAAGTTTATGGTTGTAACTTAACTAAATGTGAAAAAGGCGTATGTATATTTTTGCAAGCCAGAGTAGTTCACTGTCAGATTGTAATTTTCTTCCGTATGAATGGCCAGCTTTGTCTCTTATTTATTTAAGATTTGTGTGTATTTACTTCTCAGTTGGAGTGAGCTCTGCTCAGGCAGAGCGTTTGGTTTTGTTTATAAAGATTATAGCTTGATTATGGACCTTCCTTCTGCCAAACAAAGACAACATTTGTGTTGACCTATTTCCTGAGCTCAGAGACCCAAATGCTAATACAAAAGACTTTTTGTGATCTACCAATAAATGTGAAGTTAGATCAAAACTGTCTCTGACATTAATGTGAGTTTAGTATAGTTCTTATTGCATTCATTTTATTTTTTTTCTCCTTCCCATAAAGTAACTGAAGTTTAAACAAGTAAAGTTTATAAGCAGTATGGCGACTGCATCTTCCATTTCACCAAAGTCTGCCTGTATAATAAATATAAAAGCTGATTTACAAAACCAAATGGGCAAAAAACTTTCTGACTATTAGTGTGCAAAGCTGGTAGAGACATTCCTCAAAAAGGCTTTATATCATTTATATAATTACAACATAACATGATTCTGGAAAATACTGGTTTAGGAAGGTACTGTACAAATGCATGCCACACTTATATTTTTGTTTTCTTAACCATTTAAAAATTACCTTCATATTTCTAACTAGTTGGTATTAGTCTAGCATATAAAATCTCACTGAAAGGCATTCAAGTTTGTATTGGAAAAATGGCTAAATTTGGAAAAGTTCTGTGAGTATGAAAACTTTAGTAGATAACTAACAGACGTATTGTCTAGACATTTCCAGAAAAGGTGACCACACTACAGAAACCAAAACAAATCCAGCTGAAGGAGCTCACATTAAAAAAGTGTATCTGTTTCTGCTCTGCTGCCCGATTGACCTTGCACTCTTCTTTCTGTTTTCATCTGGGATTATGAATAAGAGCCATAAAAAAGCATTCTTGTTTAATATTTATTAAGCTATGACAAAATTTCCTCTGTTCAGTGGTGATGCTTCAGTATGTCCCCTTAAGCTCCCTCTGCTCTGCCTTCAGGTAACCTGTCATGGGAGCACTAATCTCTCAAAGAGTGAACTGAAAAGTAAAATATCCATAATGTGCATTTCCACTTTTGCTAAATTTAGTTGTCAGACTGTGCTAAGTTACACACTAAGTTACATACTTTTAATAAATAAAATTGAAACGGTTTAAATGAAAATAAATAAACATGTAAATGAATTAATGAAAGCAGATAATATTTTGCTGATATGATTTACATCTAATTGAAAAAATGATGAATGTGATATTGACCAGGCTTCAGAATGAACTGTTTTTCCCTCACACCTTTGGTTTCCTCTCCTTCAGGACTGAGATCAGACATGCAGCAACATCCCTGCAGGTGTCTGAAAACCAGAGACTCAGAAACATTGAAGCTAAAACCTTTGATTGTGTTTTTCAGCGAGAAGTTCATGGTGAGATTAAACAAGAACGGAGGACCAAAGAATCCAGAGAAGGTGGACAAGCTGTGTGCACTGTTCACGGTAACCAGGACAAACATGCGTAAACATTTATTTTGTTGCCATTTCAAAGGCAAAATCTGAGAAACTAGCCGCGCATAATTAAAGTAAGGTTTTATTGACCCCTGTTGATGCATGGCAGCATCAGCCTAGAGACTTATTTGAAAAAAAAGGAAAGGGAAAAACAAGATAAAATAAATGTTTTTTTTTCTGTTATAGTATAAATTTATAAATAAAAACTGTAACATGGATTTAGTCAGTGTTAGAGGATTTAATTAGCACTGAATATTACAAAACTATTAAACTGCTGGAACAATTTTTGCTGTGTATTTTGACTGTTTACCTGCTAATTAATTTCAGTCAATCTGTGTAATTTTGTTGGTTTGAGCAGAAATGTAAAGCAATAAGACACTCAAATAAGAAACTCAAATACAAAGTAAAGCTTAGGGTCAATCAAAGGTCTCCTTTTTCATTAGTTTCTGTTCTATGCTGATTACTAATAATCCTGCTCAGTACAAGAGGAGTCATATGTTCAATTGTTTTAGACTAATTAGTATTTTTTTGACAGTGACTGTTTTGTTTTATTGTTTGCTGTTTTGGACTGCAGGATTTGAGCAACAAAGACATGAAGAGAGAACTCTACATCGTCTCACAAGTTATTCGGACAGGTCTGACCAATCTTACTAAGACTCTTACATTGCAGTGAAAACATATCTGTGAGTTGACATTTCTTCTATTTTAGTTATTTTATTTTACAAGTAAATTTTTCAGATCATCAAACAACTGACAGGCAAAAACAAATGAAATAAATACAAACTCAGTTTTCAAATGATTACTTCTTTCAATCAGTAAAGCTATTGAGAATCGATGACAAAGTCATTGACATCCATCTGTCTGGGAAGGACTACAGATCCATTTCATAGATTTTGAGGCTCCAGTAAACTACAATAAGAAATATTGAGAACATGGATCGGTGAATCGTCCATGGAGCGGTCAACCAACCAAAACTATTTTAAACATGAACAACTCACCCAAGAGATCAGAAAAGAACCCTGAACAATATCTAAAGTGCTGATGGCTTCGCTTGCATCAGGTAAGACCGGTGTTTATGATTCAGCACTAAGATAGAGACTTGGCATCATCCATCTCAGAGCACCAAGGCCAAAACCATTGCAAGCCAAAAGATGCACAAAAAACCCATCTCATATTTGTCATGAAACCTCTTCATAATCCCTATGATGTGTAGTTAAAATATTGTGTTGGGTGAAGGCACTGAAGTGGAACTCTCTGGAACATTGGAACATTAATTCCGTTCTTTTACCAAAGGAAAAAAAACGTTCTAAAACGTCCGACAATGTTCTAAAGCACCACAATAAGTCCACTTCTAAATGCTTAAAAGAAAACAAAAAGTTCCTCCAATATAAATGAAACTAATTCAGCAAAGAAGAGTGAGCCAAAAATCCTCTGCAATAATTGAAAAAAACTCATTGCCAGTTATCACAAACCCCTGGTGGCAGTTTTTGCTGCCAAGTAAAGAACAACCATTTATTACTTTTTCCTACAAGGTTAGGTTGATTTTTTTTTCTTTTGAGAAAACTGCTTATTGTATTTACCCAGGTTATTTTTTTGTGTGTTGTAAAAATGTATTTGATGACCTGAAAAAATGACATTTTACAAAGAAGTCTAAAATGAAAAAAATAAATTAATTAATCTGTAAAAAGAGCAAATACAGTATAAAGTCCCTTTGTGTATCTCAGAAGACCTTGTAAAGTACATCACAGTGTAGAGTTAAATATCAGTTACATGGAAAATATATAAACTATTGATCAAAATTTACTTTTGGATTTTTAAATATGTTGGTAATTATTTATGGACATTTAAATCTAACTTGATCACAATTTTTTCTTCCATGCAGTTCAGCAAAACTTTACACAGTTTAATCCTTTTCACAGGTCGCATGCTGCTGAACGACAGTAAGAAAGGGCCGCCACATGTTCAATATCGCAGACCGTACGGCTGCGCTGTTCTGGCCATGAGCGACGTGCTGCAGATCATCTCAGAACTCAAAGAGGAGAAAGACTTTGTTCTTAAAGTTTACACGTGAGTGGCTGCTCTCACATAGATGACTAGTTTCAAAGTATCACTTTAATGATTGAAGATCTGATTAAGATAAATTTGCACCATCGAACTGAGTCAAAGCATTAATCTAAATGTGTTGAGTGTGGAGCAGATCTGGAATGTGCATAAATCAGTCAAATAACCAGTGTTTTGTGATACAAGAACTTACACAATATTTAATTCTTGTATTACTTTTTTCATCTTTAGGTGTTTTATTTAAATCTGTCAGGAGGACACATTAAAAATAAATAAGAGTTGCTTTAATTTAACTGCGTGAATATTTTATGCACCTTTTCATCCTATTTCATCAGACTGCCTTTCTTGGTTCATGTCTAACAATACTTACAATGACAAACCCAAAGTAAACTTGAGCTGTTCTTATAGGAATGTTTGCTCATTTGCTTCCCTTGGCAGAAGCTATAACACACAGAAAAGTTACAAAAAAGTCACGAAAATGTAAATTATCTGATTCTACAAAGGCACCAGTCATGAGTGTGTGACAACAGTGACATTGCAAAAATGTCAGCCGTTCTTTACAAGTACTGACTGTGATGTGTCAACAATCTGTTGCATCCTGCCTGTTTGCTTAAATAAACTGATTTAATTACAGAAGCCAGGAAGATAGAGCACATAACACCAGTTTTGTGCTCCCTGTAGCTCAAAGAATAGATTTTAAAATACTGTTGTCAGTTTACAAATCACTGAATGGTTTAGCACCACAATACATCAAAGATCTGCTGTTGTTGTATCAACCTTCCAGACTCTCAGGTCTTCTGGTTCTGATCTGCTTTGCATCTCCAGAACCAGAACCAAGAGAGGAGAAACAGCTTTCAGCGTCTATGCACCAAAAATTTGGAACAATCTTCCAGAAAACTGTAAAACAGCAGAAACCCTGACTGCCTTTAAATCTCAATTAAAAACACACCTGTTTAGAATTGTATTTGAAACGTAATATGTAATATGTAAAAACACAAAAAAACTTTGTGTTTTTGTGTTTATGATGTAAAGCACTTTGAAATGCCTTGCTGCTGAAATGTGCTATACAAATAAAATTTGATTGACTGTTTTACTATGGTGTGCTTTTACAGTTTTACAGATTCTGTTGCCAAACACTGAATGTTTCAGCCTTTGAGGTTAAAGATAAACCAAACAAGAGGGAGAACACTAAGTGCTAGAAACACATTGAGCTTTAATGTTGTGTTTGTATCAGATTTATTGCCTCTTTAATCTTTTTTTAATGTTTCACTTTAGTTTTTTTCTCCATTTTCAGCCTTATTTCTTATTATGGAAAAAGACAAACAAAAAATATGATTCCTCTACCTTTGATTCCCCAATGCAATTAACTGTTATTTCATGCACAAGTATTTATGGCCTACAGCAGAGGAATACCTGTTCACTAAAGCATCTGAAGAACTGCTTACAGGAGGCGTAAAGTGCTTCTCATAACATCATGTCGCTGTTTGTGTTGCTTACATGTGTGCACATGTCCGAAAATATATACAATGCATCCTCTCCGTGTGACTAGACAATAAGATTATGTTTAAGATGCACAGTAAACACGTACTTATTGTGAAACTGTTTTGTTTTAATAGTTTTTACACTTTAGTATAACAAACTTTTTTTTGACCTCCAGGTGTAACAATGAGAACGAATGGTACCAGATCCATGAAAACATCATCCGGAAGTCAAGCACCAAATACACAGCGCCCAGCACCAACTATGGTAGGGACAAGCTATTTTAGTAGTTCAAACAACAAATATATTTTAATGTGCATAAATAGCCACAGTGGAAACCGTCTTGACTGTACTGCAAACTGCAGAAACGAACATCAATAGTCTTCCTGATCTCCACTCTTGGAGGTGCAATCAAGGAAAATGTTTGAATACTGAACCACCAATAAGTTTGGGCACACTGCATTGCGCTTTTATTATTTTTGATTTCATCTTTACATGAAATAAAAGAAAAATAGAATAACTTGAATATTACAAATTCCAGTTTTTAACATTAATTGACAGAAACATAACAAAAAAGAAGCAAATTCACTATTTTATCAGCTGAAGTAGCATTGACACTGTAGGCGTTTGTAGGAAATTTGTTCACACCTAAAATACATAATTTACGTTTTAAAACTGTTTTGCATCTCCTATGGATCACAATTGTATTTTTTCATCTTTCTTGCATATTCTTGTTATATCAGCTCTTATGAATTTGTGAAAATATGAATTCCCAATGTAAAACAATAAGCAGGCTAAATGGCAAGTAAATAATGAACTTTAATTAACTAAATTAACCCTTGCTTCCACTTTTCTGTTGGACAATTGGCCCATAAGGACACTGCTGGCTGGCAAGAGGATATTTTTTTTCTAACTTTCTAGAAGCAAGAAAGTAAGAAAAAAATATGCAAGCCTCCCAGGAGAAACTCCTTAACATTATCTGACTGATTCATAGATGTCATCTCTTTGACATTGGCTGGAAAATCATCTTAATTGGTTTCTCTGTAGGAGACTCAGCTTGACCTGGAGTTACACCCTGAGCTCCTGTGGCCACAAAGCATCACACATTTTAACTGAACTTTGTGCTTGTCTTGATCTGAAATGTCATTTGAAACTGCCTCAATTAAATTGGTAGAGTTCTTCTCAGATGTAAGAATTAATACCAACTGTATGAAAGCAATTAAGGAATTACCCATGTATCTAATTCACGTTTGCACTTGTCTTTTTAAGAGCTGAAATGCAGCTATTTTTGCTGCATTTTAGAAATTACTTGGTCAAAATTTTTCTTTTTCCTTACATATGCCTTTTGTTCTTTTATCTTTTATATCTGCTTTTGTTCTGCTCTCTTATTGTTCTGTGAAGTGACTCATTCTCAAGTCTTCTCCCCATGAAATCCTGCAGGACTGATCATCTCCCTGCAGCTGCTCAGAGGTGACATGGAGCAGGTCCGCAGAGAAAACCCTCTCATTTTTAGCAGGGGGGTAGCCATCACTCGGAAACTGGGATTCCCAGATGTCATCATGCCAGGTGAGTCACATCCTGCACAATGTGCTCCGGTAACACGTGTCCACCCACACTGTTTGTTTTATTTTTAGGTTCTGTCTGAACGCAGCAGAATAATCAACATCAGGGAAATATTAGAAGTGAAGTATTCCGAATTTGACTTCTGGAAAGGGTATTTTAATTTTAAAAAATGCTTTAAAAAATGAACTGGATATTAATTATGGGGACATATGGGGCCCACTTACTTTTGATGTCTTTTTCAGAGTTTACAATAGCATCAGTTTGTCCCAGCACCATCACTGCATGAATTTGGAATGATTTGACAGTGTAAATACAGTTAACAACATTTGCTTTGTTTTGGCACTAGATTCTTGAAGTAGAAGGTACTAAATACACATGGGATCAATAATGCCTGTCAAGGTCAACAGATCTGAGAAATTTGCTTCACTTCTTGCACCAGGTTGCTGATTTTGTCATTCTAGCCATAGCAGATGCATCTCACAAGCCTTTCCTACAAAACTTCTGACTAGATAAATCTCTTTGACATCAAGTTTCAAAAAGATTGGTTTGTAAAGCTTCCCCTGCATCAAAATTACCCAAAGCTTTCAACAGAAAATATTTTTTCATGCTATCTGAGAGATGCAAAAGCTCTCTTCAAAATTTCAATTTGCTCTGGTTAAAACATATATAAACACATCTTAAATGGGGCTGACTTTCCCCTAAATTTGTAGACAAACTCCCAATTTAGATAAATGTCATTTCCCCACACCGCATTTGCCCGCACATTATTTTAGAAATAAATGTGCCTCTGTATTTTGCTTTTATATCTGCATATAGTTGGTATCTACAAATAGCTTTGTGCAGAGGCCCAAACATAATCCTCAGTAAAAACCTAAAGCAATCTATAACATTTAGTGGCGCTCAAGTCTCACAAAAGACTGCATTATTTTTTTAATAACTTGGTTCATTTATTCTAAGACTTGACCTGCTCATTTTACATTTTGAGTTCAGCTTTTACAGCTTTCTTTTTGTGACAAAACGTTAACATCAACAATGTTTGCGCTATTTCACAGATTAAGCCATGTTCTTTATCAACAAGTACTGCCCTGTCTTTGTTCCATTTTAACATTGATCATGTTAACAGTGAGACAGAGAACATAAATCCATGAACGCTCCTACAGCATGAAAGAAATATAAGATCGATGCGTAACTATGACAGGTCATGTAAATATGTTTGACGTCAGTGGATTTCTTATGAATGTATCAAGTAACTTTCCAGTAAAGTCTCTGTTCCTCAAGGTTCTCACTAATGTATTAATATCCTCCATCAGCTATATGGGTTTCTAATTTACTGTACAGTCAAATCTTCTGTCCAACAGGACAAACATTTTGCTAACACAAGTGGCATCCTGTCACATGCCATCGTGTCCCTCATCTTGTCAGTTCCTGGAACACATATTTTCACTCCAACCTGTTAATTTGGAGATAATTGCCATATGCTGATTTTAATATTAAAATATATCAACAAACAATCTTAGCCGTGCAGGTGCATTTAAACTGCACTAGGTTTTGTTTTGTTTTATTGTTTTTTGATCAGAATTTAACCTTTAGCCCCCAACTTACAGTGTTAAATTTTGAAAATTGCCCAAATAAGCACAGGGAGTAACAATAACCCTGAACCTGTCCTCTAAAGCAGAGACAGCAGGGCTGCATTGTAAAACACACAACATGCCAAAGGGTCTTTCACACCTCTTTCACACACATTAAGCACTCCTCCCCTCCGGCAGAGATGGAGTGAGTATTTAACGCCCAACCTGATGTATTAGAGGTGACACCTCCTCTATAAGGATGAGCTTAAAATGACGAATGAATCTACACTGGACAACACAGGTCATTTGTCTTCTGCATGTTAAAGATATTCAGCTTTAAATGTGTCTGAGATTTAGTCTGTGCTTGAGGACATGTGTGTCCTTTATGCTCTTTGTCTGTGACAATATGTTTTATAGTACTTAAATGTGAACAGACTGAAACAGTTACAGACCGTAATTGCATCTTAATATGATTGTTGCTCTTAATTTGTCCTGCTTTGTGTTTTTGCATCCTTTCCTAAAATCAGGTGACATCCGTAATGATCTGTACTTGACTCTGGAGCGTGGAGACTTTGAGAGGGGAGGGAAAAGTGTTCAGAAAAACATTGAAGTGACCATGTATGTCATCTACGCAGATGGGGAAGTGCTGAAGGTATGAAAGTGATCCTACACACATATATGCTGCTTAGTTTGACAGCAGTGACAAACTGATGCTTTTGCATAAGCAAAAGCAAAAGTACTGATGCTTTTGCATAAGCAAAAGCATCAGTACTTATACAGTCAACCTCAAATGTATCTGTTTCCTGGGCAGATTTATGTTTCAAATGATTTTACTTAAACCAATAAATAGTTTAAATACTTAACATTAATCTAACTTATTGTTCCCAATCAACAACACCTCACACATCTAAAAATGAGCTGCTTAAAACTACAATTATAACATCTGGTTTCATGTTTGTTTCTGTTTGCACAAACTCTCTGGCTCCCCCTGCAGGACTGCATCAGTCTGGGTTCAGGGGAGCCCAACATCCCAGAGTATCGTTCTTTCGTCCTCTACCACAACAACAGTCCTCGCTGGAGTGAAGTGATCAAACTGCCGATTCCCATTGATCGTTTCAGAGGGTCCCACCTCCGCTTTGAGTTCAGACATTGCTCAAGTGGGTCTATTATGCTTACCTTTAGTGGGCTAACAGAGCTAGCAGTGACAAACTTGTCATAAATAAGATTATGAAACATATTAGTGATGAATGGTAAATCAAAGGTAACCATAACTACATAAATGGACAATTCCCAAAGCTCTTAATAAGTATTTTTATTGCACTCTCTGGCTGTTACAGCAGTAAAACTTTCATTGCTTCTCTCTTTTTACATTTCTATTTTCTCCTTGTTTTCTCTCACTCGACAGCAAAAGATAAAGGAGAGAAAAAACTTTATGGCTTTGCCTTCACCCCTCTTATGAGAGAGGATGGAACTACTTTATCTGACGAGAGCCATGAGCTCTATGTCTACAAGGTCAGTGAAAAACGCTGCATCATATGTTTGTTCATCGTCTTCTATTATAGACTTTTGTCTGAAAATAGTAGTTATTTTGCACTTCCAGGCATTCACTATACCAACCAGTTTCAGCTCAAAGTGTGAAAACTTTGGCAAAAAAACAGGCGTTAGATTAAAAAAGTGAATGAGATTTATTTTAATTTTATTAATAGAAATTTAAATCAGCATTAAGACAAGAGCACTTGTTTTTAAATGTCTCTACCTTTTCATCATTTTTTTAAATTCTTTGTGGATTTAGTGTGATGAGAACACAACCTTCAGTAACCACGCCCTCTACCTTGGCCTTCCATGCTGTAAGGACGACTTCAACAGCTGTCCCAACATCCCATCCAGCCTCATCTTCCAGAGAAGTGCCAAGGAGACATTCTGGATCGCCACGCAGCTTTCCTCCACCAAGCTCACTCAGAATGGTAACCACTTAATCCAGTAGCTTTTAAATTCACTGTCAGACAATCAAATCTTCCTTCAATTAATAAAAATGTAATACATTAAAAACATTTCAATTTTACAGGGAAACAGAATATTTTCATATTAGGCTTACTAAACGGCTACAGTGTCAATGCTTACCGTAATTTTGCTCAATATGTTCTGAAATATTGCACTAAGGCCTCAAATATTGCATCCTGAGCTGCTGCTGATGTTTCTAATTGAAAACAAAATATTAGCTGCATTCATTACCAAACAGCAATAACAGTCTCTGTACGGCTAGTTTTTGATATTAGTGTTCTGTATCACCGACCAGAGGATAAAAGTCAACTAGACCCTATTTTCATCATCATCTTTGTTCTGTAGAGCAGGCAGTGGTTGGGTGTGGATTAAGGTGTTGTGTTGTTGGTGGGAAGTTTGGAAAAGCTCTTTGTGTGGGAGGGAGGTGTGAAGGCCCGGCAATCAAATTTACAAAATAGTAGATCATCAGCTGGGCTTGGTGACAAAGCATGTGGGGAAGGTTCCTATAGTTGGCAAAGGACTGCAAACTTCTTGTAAAGGCAAAACACCTCTTCACTGCTAAACATATTTTCTTGTGAAGCAGATTTGTTTCCAACAAAAATACTTTTTGTGTTGTCGTATTTTCCTAATTCTATCTAAAGTTATTGGTCTAACCATGTCATAATCAGTTTTTCATTGGGTCATGTTATCATTGTGTTTATTATTTTTCTATTATTTTCTCAGTGGACCTCTTGGCTCTCCTTAAGTGGAAGGCCCATCCTGACCGGGTCATGGACATCCTTGGGCGTCTGCGACATGTCAGTGGTGAAGAAATAGTCAAGGTGAGGTTCATTGTGACATTAAAAGGGAGGAGGAAAGCTTTGTTAGTGTCCATAATTCGCAGTACATCAAAATACTGGTCTTATGATCTTAAAGCCCGTGGTTCCAGAAACTGCAACTAAGTATCATTTCTGTTGTATGTCAGTCCAAAGGAGAAAAGATTTGTATTTACCATTTAGCTCTATAGATTAACAGCTTTACTTTGTCTTTTATTTGAGTTGAGCTCACCGGCTTCCCCTGTTGTAGTGTGATGTCCCCCAGGTGATAATAGGCTGCCCTTGTCCCAGACGTGTTGTTAAAGGATAATGATTTCCACTGTTTGGCAGCTCACATCATCTGAGGTGTGAAAATGTTGGCAGCACATTTCAACACAGTTTAATTTGACTGCACTTTATTTATTTATTAATTTTTTCTACAGTTTCGGAAAGATTGAAGTAATTCTTTTGAAGTTGCATTGATGGTTGGCTTTTTGAAAACCATCTGGCTGTCATGTTCAGTCAGTGTTTCTCTGCAAATACTCGTAAAGTGACCTCTGCAGTCAACAGTAACTCAACATTTTAACCCACTGTAGATAAACAAAGCTCCCAGTAGACTATACTACTATCAACTTACTAGTTTTTTTATTGTACGTTTGAAGCTCATTGTAAGTCTTGATTCACTTTTTTCTCTTTTTGTTACATTTTAAAGTTATTCTGAAGCTGAGTTTTGCATATTTTTTATTGTAAACATTGAAACATGATAGATACATAAGTATAAGTAGACACTCAAAGTTGAGCTCAGATGCATTTGATTTCCACTTATCATGCTTCAAGATGATTGTACAAGTTTTAGTTGACCTTGTGTATCGGACCAAAAATCTGCCGTGAATTCAAAGGAACTTGTTGTAGACATCCATCATCAGACGTTATGTAATCACAGATCTACTGAAGGCCAGAAAAAACATTGATAGTTTAGAAAAGCTACACTTTTTTTGGAAATGGGAGAAGTTTGAAATCACCAGGTCCTTCCATAGATCTGTCCCCCTTATGTTTTATGTTAAAGCAGACAGATAATTTTTTTGTTTTTCCATTAGCATGTGCTTGATCACTTCGTTCTTCAGGGAACCCAAGCACCTGCCTTTTTGATTGTAGACAAACATGAGTTACTATTTGTTTGTATTTTTTACAGTTTCTTCAGGATATTCTGGACACGTTATTCTCCATCTTGGATGATAACACAGACAAATATGGACCCCTTGTGTTCCAGTCACTGGTAAGATAGTTTGTTAAAGGAAATAAAGCAATTAAATTTGAGTTAAGACTCTTCATATTTTATGTTTATATAAAATCACAGTTTGCTTAAACATTTGGTAAAACTGTTTATCTTCTGTGCATTTTTCTTTTTCCTTTTGCAACGCTAACTGCTTATTCTTTATAATTATTAATGCTTTATTAATAGATTTATCTCTCTCTCTTCCAGGTTTTTATCATTAACTTGCTCAGGGACAGTAAATACTACCACTTCAGGCCAGTCATGGACACATATATTCAGAAACACTTTGCAGGAGCTCTGGCCTACAAGTGAGTTTTCCTGCCTCCGGCTGCAACTGTGTTCCTTCAACTGAGGGTTAATTCTTGGTGTATTCTTCAAATTGACGATCTGAAAAAAAAATGACAATGAGACACTGCAAGAGATGAAAATGAAATTTCACTGAGCTGAGAAAGTTTGACTTGTTTGTAAAATAGTGTAAGTTTTTTTAATTACGGTATGCGTTTCTTCTTTGTCATAAAGATCTACTAAATCAAGCAGATGAAAATAAAAATTAATAGTCAAAGTCAACTTCCTCTGATTAAGTGGAGTTGTGTTTATGGAGAGATATTACTTGGACACCCAGTTTGGTAAATTAATTACACTACCTAATGTGCGTGTAGTTTTTGTTGTAAAGACACGTGCTGTGATTATCGTTTGTTTTCCAGAGAGCTGATTCGCTGTCTGAAGTGGTACATGGACCGCTCTGCTGAGGTGGTCAGACAGGACCACATTCAGGAAGCAATGAGGGTAAGAAGGAGTGGAAACTCACAGGTTACATTGTTCTGATACCTCAGATTGTTCAACGTAGAAACACACATTAAGCAGTTCACATGTTACATTATGTAAATTAGATCTAAGAAAACTAAATGCAGTTCTATAAGTTGTCAGATATGTTTACATGCTCCATTGCAACCAAGCTTGTCATTTTACTTGCAATTGATTTGTACAATTTATGTAAATAAAATACTTTTTTCTGTAAATAATATACGTTTCCTAAACCAAACCAAGCCAAAAATAAAGAAAATAAATGCTTTGTTTTCTTTAGGATTATATTATGTCTATGTGTCTTTGCTCTGATTGGTGACAAAGGATAGCAAACATTTATTTTAAAACAGATGGACCATTTTTGTAGGCACTGCAGACTGTAGCATTTTTATTCAACAAAGCTGCTCAGCAGTTTGAAATATTCATCAGACTCAAACATCCATCTCAAATGAGCCACACTGTCATGTAGAAGTGGATGACATGAATTATTGAGAATAGTTTTGACATATTCTGCAGCTTTGGCTTCTAATTCTTAATTCATCTTTTTGAAGTCTCTGTGTGCTTCAGTTGTTTTTAGCTTGTGTTTGTTACAGTACTTTAAATTATTTTACAAACTATGTGTATACACGTTTGTGATGTTTCTTTATTATTAAGGTCAAGCTCATCATGCTGAAGTTAAATTAAAACTAGATTCAGTCTGCTGAATTTCTTTTGCATTGAAGCTCATTCAAATCCAATTTTCTTCTTCTAGAAACTAGATTGAATCCACGTTTTTATTATGAGAATCATTCTGTTAACTGTTTACTTAATGTATTTCTATTTTCAAAGCAAACTTCTCTTGCATATTATTCAAGCTACTTTCTGTGTATTTACATTTTTTTAAGTATCTCACAAGTATTTTTTCTGTTCTAAACACAAAACTTTTTATCAGGCTCTGGAGTATCTGTTCAAGTTCATCATCCAGTCTCGGATCCTTTACTCCCGGGCCACCTGCGGGATGGAGGAGGAACAGTTTCGAACCAGCATCCAGGAACTCTTTCAGTCCATTCGCTTCGTCCTCAGCTTGGACAGCCGCAACTCAGAGACCCTCATATTCACTCAGGTGAGGGGGACATGTTTTAATGCACAAACTGAACACAGCGCTTTCACTTCAAATCTTTCATTCTTTTAAATGAACTTAATGTCACTGCTTCACTCATTTATCCAGCTTATTTCATTATGCCTTGCAGAAGACTTTAATTTGCTTCGATAACATGTAGTGCCATAAATATTTCTTTAGTTTGATTTGTGTTATTGTAAAGTTTCTACCCAAGCTGTTTTACATTAGTTGTTTTAATTTAACTTTTTCTCCTTTTACACCTTTTTTCTACTTTCCCTGCTTATTCGCATCGCCTTCTTTTTCAATCCCCCTAACTGTCCTTCATTGGGTCCCGATGTTTTCCCCTGGACCTCCTTCTTACCCGCACACCACAGGGCTCCCAGCCTTGCCCCGGCCCCAATCAGACTCCAGGCCCCTGCGTTGGGCCTGCAGGCCCCTTAGCTCTAGTCTCTGCCCTGGGTCAGATCCAGGCCCCTGTCCCAGGGCAGGTTCCTGTTGGTGGGCCATCTAGCTGCTCTCAGGCCTGGAGCTCCAACGCTCTGCGGCCGCCTTCGCTGTCAGTAAGTAGACATTTAGAAGAAAGCAACAACTCCCAGTTTGTTGTGTGAAGCCCAGAGTTCCTGTTCATGTCTTCAGCTGTTTGTGAGCCGAATAATGCACAAATACACCACACATACACCGTGTTTGGTTTCACACATTCTAACACATTCATGTTTGTTCTGCACTGACAAATCACGCCCACTGTTACACAAAACCCATTACACCATGCTCACCTAGGTTAATACATTCCCTCTAACAGCAACAACTAACCTGTCTTCCCCTCCAAGTCACATTATCCTCAGTGAATATATATAAAAAAAGAAAAAATAAGTAAAGGGCAGTAAAAGAAAAATGCTGAAAGCTCTCCAAAAAACATGGAGACCTACTGATATCTCTGGTTTAAAAGATCACCAAAAGATTTATGTTTTTCAGATTTAAAATATACAGATACTGAAGAATGAGTCAAGATTTCAAGAGTAACAAGAACATCTGTTTTAGAGCTGAGCTAATAGTTATCCATATAAAGTATATTCAAAGTTAGCTTTAGCTTGAACTTTTTTATCTGATGTGATCAGACTTGTGTCAATTCAGACAATATAGATACACAAATAAGGCTAAAATCGTGTCTATTGTCCATATTTGGACTGAAGTAGCATGAGCAGATTTGTGAACTTTTCATCTCCTGAATCATGATCAAATCCAGTTTACTCAACCTTAAATTTTGACTTTAGCAACCCAGAAACCAAAAAAATGTGAAACTGAAGTATCCTAATTTCTATCAGCAGCTTTAGATATTTGCATGAAGAAGCCAGTGTCTGCTGGAGGGTCACCACTTACCTCAGTTTATGTGTCTTTGTTTTCTATCCATACAGGTAAATCTTTGTCTTTTTGCCCTGCAGGTTTACAGTTTTTTTTCCTTATTTTATTTTGTGAGATGCCTTATGTAAGTTAACTCTTTTTTCATTCCTCATTAAAATAGGTGAATAGCTCTTTTGTAAAATGTAGTACATCAATAAAAAAATAAAGGTAATTTTTATTATTTATTTTAGGCTTGTATATATTTAATTCCCCCTTGAAAGCCAACACATTTATATGACGAGTCTTATGCTGCGGATTGGGACTCACACACATGAGTTGTGATGAAAAGATTCATTTTGAAAATCAGCTTTTCAATTCTGCTGTCTTTTGGTTGTTTTAAAGAATCATGGGCACCTTTCTCTCATTACATTCACTGAAACTGACACCATTAACCTCCTTGTTCTCTTTCTAACATAAATCTTCATCTTTCAGACCCTCACCTGTGCTGTCATCTGAATATCCTCCTAATTTCCTCACTTGTTCCATGTTTCCTGTTTTTCTTCTTTAGGCGGCACTCTTAAACTCCTTCCCTGCCATCTTTGATGAGCTGCTGCAGATGTTCACGGTGCAGGAGGTGGCAGAGTTTGTGCGTGGGACGTTGGGCAGCATGCCATCAACGGTGCATATTGGGCAATCGATGGATGTGGTGAAGCTGCAGTCCATCGCTCGAACTGTAGACAGCAGACTCTTTTCTTTCCCTGGTAATAACTTGCAGCTATCAGCCTAATTGTAGTTTTCTTTTGATTTCTTTTTCTCCATGACAGGAAGGGGATGTAAATGTTTTAGCAAAGAAATATGAAAATAACTAAAACAGTTTTTGTTCACTAAAAAGATCCCTTGGAAACAATCAAATTCTGGTTAGCTTTTACAAATTTTTTAATGAATTGTTTTCAAATAATATATGAAATCAGTCTCTTAACTGAACCTATTTATTTGTCCATCATGTTTTTACTTTGTTTAACCTGCTGTGTGTTTGCCTCCAGAGTCTCGAAGGATTCTGCTTCCAGTCGTCCTGCATCACATCCATCTTCATCTGCGGCAACAGAAAGAACTTCTCATCTGTTCAGGGATACTCAGCTCCATTTTCTCCATTATCAAGAGCAGCTCACTGGTAACCCATGTATACACATGGATATAATGAAGAACGTAGATCAAAGCTGTCTCTCATGTCATTAAAGTCTGAAGATAAATTATTTTATACCACATTATTTTCTGAGAAGTCATACACAAATTTTAAATAGTACTGAACTTATTAGGCTCATTTGGAAAATTGATCTAAACCTAAAGTATTACCTAAGACAGACAAGCTTCCTGAAGGGAGCAATGAAGGTTTTTACTTTGTTTAGGTTATTTCTAGAAAATGTGCTCTAGTATTTTCTGCTACCAATTTCCAAAATACATTGTTTCTCAACTGATATTAATAGAGTTATGGGGATGATGATGCTCATTAATATCTGGATATTTTTTCTTCTCTGTGATATCTACAAAAATGGAAAATGCAGTAAATCCTTTTTTGTTATTTTGTGTTTGTCTTGCATGCTTTTCTTTTCTGCCTTCCCCTTTCCTTCGTTCTGCCCCAATTCCACTTTCTTTAAACCTTTTTCCAAACTGTCCCCTTCACTCCATGTTCCCTCCTCGTCTCTTCCTCTAGGACACGTCGGTGCAGGAAGAGGTGGAGATGATGGTGGAATCTCTGCTGGACGTCCTCCTGCAGACACTTCTGTCCATCATGAGCAAGAGCCAATCGCAGGAGGCGGTAAGGGGTCAACGCTGTCCGCAGTGCACCGCGGAGATCACTGTTAGTAACTAACAATATGACTACTACTACTTCACCACCCTCTTCCCTGACCTGCCCCTCGCCATGCTGCCTCTCTGTTAGGACTGGGCAATATTAAACATCAGTTATTTTCCTGTTCTATAATTTAGATTACTTTTGATATTTGATGCATTGAAATTTAAATCAACAGAGAATAAAGATTTAAATAGTTTTTCATATTGCCCTATCCTAATCCAGCCAGTCATTATTCCCATGCCATCAGTTTTCTGATTAGACAAAAACTGCTTGTCCTTGTTGGGAATGCTTGCATGCGGCATTAGCTTTAAAAGTTTGAACATATTTCTTGTGCTCTCCCTCACATCCTGTAGCTATTTTGCAGACTTTCAAAAGTTTTCATGCCCCTAAACTTTTTACATTTCACAAAATGATTTACAATGGTGAAATGGATGTAAAATGTATTTAAAACTGGTTTACAAATAAAAACTTTATAAAGTTGAAATTTGACTATTATATATCTATCAATTATTTTTCATTTTCATTCCTTGGCCTGAAACTTTCATGTTCCCTTCTCCTTTTGCTCCTCTTTACAATCTCAAACTAAATAAAATAATCTGTGTTTGGAATAGAAATGTTTAAATTATCCATAGCAATGAAGACAAAAGCTAATATAACAAAAAACAAACAATTTATCAGTTGCATTAACCACAACAACACTCAGAAAATTAATAAATCATCTTTACTGATTTTCTGGAAACTGAACAAATGTTTCCATTCATTCTGGAATAATAAAAATAAATTTCAAGGTTTACCTGATTAAGAACAATTACAATTATCCAACACCTTTTGACAATTGTTTTTATTGTTATTTCTGATTGATTCTTTGCTACGGTGATAACAGCTTCCATGTGATTGGCTCACATGTCTGTCCCGGTCTTTCTTTTTGGCAGGGAGAGTACGTTTCATGCCTCCTCTCGCTTCTCCGCCAGATGACTGATATCCACTTTCAACACTTGATGGAGAATTTTCAGAGCAAGGACGAGCTCAAGGTACAACACAAAATCATCCTGCAGTCATGTTAGTAATGACAGATCTGATGCAAACAGCAGCAAAGACGAGTCAAACTGTTAAGAAAGTCAAATATTTCAAATTTTATAGTGATAAAATAATAGTGATTTTGTTTGAGGAACTTTGACATTTCTCCTTTCTTCGCCTCCAGGAGTTTTTGTTGAAGATTTTGTGTGTGTTTAGAAATCTGATGAAGCTCAGTATTTTTCCTCGTGACTGGAACATCATGAGGCTGCTTACCAGCAAGTAAGAGACAAAAATAGTCTGCTGGGCAGTGGAGACATATATCAATATCAATATATATATATATCAGTTCCTGAAACTAAACCAAGCAGCCACTAACACAACATATATTTGTTCACTTTCTGCAGCATCATCCTTACCACAGCTCAACAACTCGCTCCTGCTCTGCACAAGAACTTTGCTGAAACAGACTTTGACTTCAAGGTGCAGACATTTAAATATTATTATAAGTATAACTTCTATGTCCCATACTGAAACATTTATTTAAATAGATTTACACAAAACTCAAAGTAGGATAGCATTAAAGAACAGTCTGTGCTTTATTGGTTGTATGTGTGTGCATAAGCAGGTGTGGAACTCCTACTTCAGTTTGGCCGTTCTCTACATCAACCAGCCGAGTTTACAGCTGGAGAACCTGAGTCCTGCCAAGAGGAAGAAGATCTTAGACAAGTGAGACGACTCACAAAACACTGTCATACTATGTTCCAATAAAAAAGAGACACAATTAAAACACAATGTGGAATGTTACAACAGTTGTATATATTTTTATATATTTTGTATATAGTTTTTATGTAACACATATTGTGTCACATAAATTAAACCAGAGCAATCTAGTAATAATTAGAAATTTATGTAACTTTATTTGAAAAAGTATGTGATTTTCTACCAAGATCATTTTTGATATACATTATGATACCTCCACCTTTGAGTTAGCAAATTTCTTAACAACCTGCTGTAGCATTGACTACAGAACTTTTCTTTTACCCTCTGGTGGAGGTTCTGGGTATTGCAAGTGGTCTTGCTAGTTTCATTCTGCCTTTTTGCTTTTTATCTAATCACATGAAAAACCTCCAAGACAAACCACCACCATCTCATCAGCTTTTGGACAATATGATTTAATTATAGCTTTCATGAACTAAACGTGTTGCTGAATATATTTTACACATCATTTGTAAAAATGTAAACTGTCCAAAAACAAATTGCACAGGAAAATGTTTGTTCTTAATGTTTATTTATATGTATTATTATTGCAGGTATGGCGACATGAGAGTTATGATGACCTATGAACTTTTCAACATGTGGCAGAACTTGGGTGAGGTTTATTGTATTTTTCAGATTTTTTTTAAAACGGACTTCGATAATCTTTTCCCTGCAACTTTTACAAACTCATGTGTGTCACGTGTGTTTTTCATAGTTTTTTTGACTAAAATTGCACTTGATAAAATAAATTGTTCGCTGATTAAAGATGATTTCAAAACATTTATTGATTTTAGGAGAGAATAAGATCCATTTCATTCCTGGGATGATCGGACCGTTCCTCGGAGTGACGCTGGTCCCTCAGGTGGAGGTGAGGAACATCATGATCCCGATCTTTCATGACATGATGGACTGGGAGCAGCGCAAAAATGGAAACTTCAAACAGGTACACAGACACTTGTGCAGACTTAGATTTCCCATGGTCATATCCAAGAAACAGTACAGGTCTGCTCTTACATAAAGCTGCACACAGAGAGTTAGTTTATTTCTCTTTGACTGTTCAGGTGGAAGCTGAACTAATTGACAAGTTGGACAGTTTGGTGTCGGAGGGAAAGGGCGACGAGAACTACAGAGAGCTGTTCGGTTTGCTGTAAGGAACACAGAGTTTGTTTGTGCTTTAACTCCCACCTGGCTAAGTTTTTAAACCTGTCCGTTCTCGCTTACTCTCCTTCTGTTATAAAAGAAATTAACTCTCAGTTCTTCTGCTCTAACACTCCTCTCTGCTGTTTGCTTTGCTCTTTGCTGCGGGACTAGAACCCAGCTGTTTGGGCCCTATCCCAGGTAACCTTATCACATACACAGAGATCAATGCTGCTAATATTAAAAGTTGAAACATGTTATCCGGAAGATATCTGCATGTTGGTGGTGTGAGTCTATAAATTGAGAGTTTAGTCTTGTGTTATCTGCACATGTGAAAGACTATGAGTAACGCAAACAAAACACTGAGGTGTAAGGCATGCTTCATCACATTCCTCCAAGCACATGAGTCAACAGAATACTTCACATTAACAAACCATACAGTGATTATGCAAGTTAAAGCTTCATAATATAGCTTCAGTAATGTAGTTGACAAAATGGTATTTAAACTCGTACTTGTTCTAATCTAGCAAACATGTTGTTTAACTTTAAAATCCCATGAATAGAAGTGAAGTTAAAATACTAATGAAAAGAAAGTTTGACCTCTAACTGTGATCGAACAGTCCATTATCTTGCAGCTTCTACTGACAGAGGACAAATAAAAAGTAGAAACTGCTTTAACAGAAATGCTTTTCTTATTTGATAAACATTATATTTAATATATAACAGTCACAGCTAACCTCCCTCTGGCTGGGAGGTTAGCTGGGGCATTTATCGCAGGATGTCAGCTTTGTGTGAGGTTTGAGGCTTCTTGTGCAAAACCTTAGTTCCTAAAGCAAAAAATGTTTCAAACAGAGAAAGTGCTTTCTGTAGTTGAGGCGAAGTTCATCTTTCTTACTTTTTTACTTCTCCGGAACTCACCTACTGTTTCTACATTGTTGATTTTTGTTGTAATTTTATCCAACTTTATCTGTACAAAAAGTTCTATAACCACTGTGGAAAATTTCCAGATATTGCCTTTATATGTCATCTATTTTTGCTGGAGATTTCTCTTTTATTGAGTCAGATGCAAAAGTCAAAATATTGTGGTTTTAAATCTCTTTTCTGCTTAAAAATATAATAAAAGAGTCAGTTGTGAGGTTTGTTTATGTTTTGTACTTTGTGCACTTTTACATTTAGCTTTGGTTTTTTTATATGAAGAATAGAAAAAATCTGTATTATTCTTAACACATACACATCCAAACATGTTTTACAACAACATTTTCAGAGTTCAACTCTGTTGAAAATAAACTGAAATCTGCTCACTGCTACTAAACCTGAACTTTTGTGCAACTTCATGCAAACATTTTGAAAAACTAAATAGCACATCTGCTGGGAGGTTATGTTTGAGTTTTAGATGCAAAATTATTTCCTAAAGCCAGTAAGTCAAGATCATGTTAAACAGGTTGCTAATTGTGTCGCTAGCATGTAAAAACACAACAGTTTATATTTTGCATATCTACCTGATTCTCACATGTTTTTTTTTCAGTCTGTTGGAGAAGATTGAGCAGGAGACTTGGAGAGAGACAGGAATCTCATTTGTTACATCTGTCACGCGGTTAATGGAGCGACTGCTGGACTACCGGTAAAATATGTTACATTATAGCAGTGGTTCCCAAAGATTTTCTGGGCCCCCCTTTGGATTACAATAAAATCCCTCCCAAAAAAGAAAAAGAAAATTAACTCGGCACACACATCGTTCAACCAGACATAAACCTATACACATATTTTGTTTTTAAACTCTACTGAAATGTATTTTACACTTCAGGTTGCAACAAAACACACTACAAACCATCTTTACAGTGAAACACTTTTGTGTAACTTTTTTTGGTTTGTTTTTTTCCACTCATCCATCCTGCTCCCCTCACCCCACACTAGCACTGCATCCACCTTAAGGGTTGCACCCCACACTTTGGGAACCACTGCATTATAGTGTTTAACAACACATGGTAATACATGATTTTAAAAGAACTTTTTTGTAATCGGTGTACAGAGCATTGTAAACAGCACACCAGAGAAATCAGAAATTTATTATACAGTAGGTTTGACCTTAAATCCTGGTATAATTTTTTTCAGGGACTGTATGAAAGGAGATGAAACAGAAAACAAGAAGATTGGCTGCACAGTGAACCTTCTTGTAAGACTGAGTCTTATTCTTTTCTGTATTTTATTAATTTCTTTTTACTAATAAGAGGAGCGATTGTTCTTGTTCTGCAGAATTTCTACAAGTCTGAAATCAACAAAGAGGAGATGTACATCCGTTACATCCACAAACTGTGTGACATGCATCTGCAGGCTGAGAACTACACTGGTACAAAAAAGTCTGACCAACATGTGCACACATGAAAAGTTCGAAATGTGTTACTGATGCTGTTTGATTGGGTGCAGAGGCTGCATTCACCCTGCTGTTGTACTGGGAGCTGCTGCACTGGGATGAACGGCCAGTTAAAGAGTTCCTGCATTATCCTGCTCAGACTGAGTGGCACCGAAAGGAAGGACTCTGCCGCAAAGTCATCCACTATTTCAACAAGGGAAAGGTCTGTTCTCACTCTCAGTCCCTGCAAAAATGTTCAGAGGCTAATTCAAACTAATTCAATGCTCTGTGTTTCCTCCAGTGTTGGGAGTACGGTATTCCTCTGTGCAGAGAACTGGCCTTCCAGTATGAATCTCTCTACGACTACCAGAGTCTTAGCTGGATACGAGTGAGCTCCAACACAAACAATGACCATAATTAACTCAGTAATTAATAGTGTACTTTAACAATACCAGTATGAATTACACATTCAGTTTTAAATACCAGATATACCGAGGTGGCATCCTTATTGTCACAATGCTAGTTTTTTACGTAACTTTTATATTTTAGGAGAGTAATACAATATTTTTTATTCCTTTGACTTTTTGTGTGAGATATGTAAAAATATTTCTTGGTTTCTGTCTGAAGAAAATGGAGGCGGCATATTACGATAACATCATGGAGCAGCAGCGTCTGGAGCCGGAGTTCTTCAGGGTGGGATTCTACGGCAGGAAGTTTCCATTCTTCCTCCGAGTGAGTTGAATATTTAGAAGGATGAAATAATTTTAATGCTTAAATAAGTCGAGCTTTAAAGGGATTTTAGATGGAACAACAAAACTATCTTTTTTGTCTGATTTTTTTGTTTGTTCACAACAGAACAAAGAGTTTGTCTGCCGTGGCCATGACTATGAGAGGTTAGAAGCCTTCCAGCAAAGGATGCTGGGAGAATTCCCACAAGCTATTGCAATGCAGCATCCTAATCAGCCAGATGAAGCCATTCTGCAGTGTGATGCACAGTGTATCCTTCAGATTAAACACTTCAGCAACTTCACATGTTTTACAAATTCTGTTACCAACATCTAAGTGTGAACTTCATGTTTGATTTGATCTTTGACCTTGACCTCCTGCGCTCAGACCTCCAGATCTACGCTGTGACACCGGTTCCAGAAAGCATCACTGTCCTTCAGATGGACAGAGTTCCAGACCGGATCAAGAGTTTCTACAGGGTGAACAACGTTCGGCGATTTCGTTACGACCGGCCGTTCCACAAAGGACCCAAAGACAGAGATAATGAGTTTAAGGTGAACACAGAAGAGTTTGTTGCAGTTTATACATTTTTGTCTTAAAATATTTTGTAACACATTATTTGAAGGGTTGTGCATAAGACTGATGTGACATTGTTATATCACATTGTCATGATATAACACGTGTAATGAGCATGAAGGAGTCTTTAAGAATGTTTGACTAGTGTCATTATTTATCAAATGAGATTTTACGACAACATTCATTAACATTTATTATGACATTATTTTTGATTCCTTCATGCTGATAGGAGGTGTTAGATCAGTTGACAGTGTCATGTCAGTCTTGTGGACACCTCTTCAAATAAAGTGTTATCAAATATTTTTATTGACAAAGAATCTTTATTTTTTTAACAACCAAAATGCAAAAAAATAAATAAATAAAACTTTGCCTTACACAACCCCCAAAAAATAAAAATACACTATTAACATGTACATTTTCAACTGGTGCCACAGTGCTACGGCAGTAAAAAAGAAAAAAATAAATAAATTTTTATTTAAGGTGAAAAGGATTAATGCACTATTTTAAAGACATTGCTGTTAGTGAGATTTATGGTAAAGTAAACTTGAACTGGAGCTCTACAGATTCATGATAGTCAGAATTAATGTGTGTTTTATTTTTCAGAGTCTCTGGATTGAAAGGACGACTCTGATCCTCACTCATCCTCTGCCTGGAATTTCACGATGGTTTGAGGTTGACAAACGAGAACTGGTGAGTGAATTAAATGTCTTTACTGTGCAAGTTTTTTGTCCTATTATTTATGTGTACAATTCATTTTAACATAAATCTGGCTATGGCATTTCACAAATCAGAATAAGTGTCTTTGTATGGAAATGTTTATACTATATTTGCAGGCTTCATTCCCTTTCCCATTTTCTGGAAGTAAAAGATATAATTCTGTAGTTATGTCAGATTTTCATGTACACTGTACATTAAAAAGGGCTTATCTCCAGCTTGAAGTTAATATTCCTTCTCTATACATCACCAGTGACAATAGAGGTTTCTTTGAGAGTCACCACTCAAGTGATGCAACATAAGAATTGTAATTTTTTATAGAAATGAAATCTTTGGGCTGATATATCTCATCCAATTCAATTAAAAAATACTGTAATCATCCCAAAGAGTAATTAAATGTTATTGTATGTTTTTATATATAATATGTAAAAACAGCTAAGTAAAAATTGTTCAAGAAATCTAGAAATCCAAGTGTGGAAATTTCTGAAATTTTAAAATTAATTATTGTCAAAGAATATGTTTAACACAATTAAAACAAAAGGATTATCTGTATATGTGACACTTGATCAATTATGAGGAAGTCAGAAACAATTTTGTTATTTATTATTCTTATCCATATCTATGTCTCTAACTGCATTGCTGTTTGCAGGTGGAGGTGAGTCCACTGGAAAACGCCATCTCTGTGGTGGAAAATAAGAACCAGGAGCTGCGGACTCTGATCAGTCAGTACCAACACAAGCAGCTGCATGGAAACATCAACCTGCTCAGCATGACGCTGAACGGCGTCATCGACGCCGCCGTGAACGGAGGCATCGCCAGATATCAAGAGGTTGAGAAAAAATAAAATAAAATAAACATTAACACTCATCTTCTAATGAGTCCTTCTCTGTCCTGTTATCTTTGTTCTGTAATGAGAGTTTATTGTTATCATGAAGTCTGTCTCCTCAGGTTTTATTGTGGCTCTCTTTTTATTTTAGGAGTCCTTAAACACCTCATGAAGAACATGAGGTGTGAAGATCCTCTAACCACTTTTTGAAATAATGGGTTTAATTTTGTATCTGTGAAAAGTGTGTAACTTATTAGTGCAGGTGTATGAAAGTTGATTCTGTAATTTAACAACAAAGGCTTGCATTACAGCATTCTAAAAATATATTAAGCTAATTGCAGATATTAGCACTAATTCTGCTGTCATTAAAAACAAACCTATTTTTTTTCCCTTTACCAGGCGTTCTTTGATAAGGAGTACATCACCAGTCATCCTGAAGACACAGAGAAGATCACACAACTCAAAGACCTCATGCAGGAGCAGGTGACACAAGATCCACACTTTACATGTGGAAGCTGCTACCCTCACGACCCGACCCGGATAAAACGGAAGAAAATGGATGGATACTTTATGTAATCAGGGAGTGCCATGAGATTAACATTCCTTTTTCAGGAAAGAAACTGTGAAAGAAAGAACATGAAAGTTTAACATTTTCCTTAGCAACACATAAACAAAATGAAACAAGTCTTCAGCTGAAGATGTCTATTTAACACACAGTAAAATATTAAGATTTAACGTAGCTACTCTGATGAATGAAATATTTTCTCCATACATAAAAAAATTTATACAATTATTGGTAATGGATTTGAACAATGCTCAGAAACTAGAATGTAAAGCATACAGTGATAATTCTCTAAATCATCACTCCTTCTCCTCACTTACGAAAACATTTCTTTTGGTTTTCACACAGGTTCACATACTAGGGGTGGGCTTGGCTGTGCATGAGAAGCTGGTGCACCCAGAAATGCGTCCCTTGCACAAGAAGCTGATCGATCAGTTCCAGATGATGAGGAGCAGCCTCTGCCATGTGAGTGCACAAGAAGAGCTTTAAATTTAATATGTGAAGCTTTTATCATCCATGCTTGGAAGAAATGATGTAAGGACAGAATCTGAACCACAACTATTGTTCAGTAGTAATTTTGTAATCTTTTTACAAGCCTTAATGTGACGAAACAGGCCTAAATCAACTGTGTGTCTGGAGGAAGATTTCTTTTTATCATATCATAGAGGATGAATCAATGCGCTGGAGGAGCCTAATTAGCTGGATCTTCAAAGAGGATGTTCTTCTGCCTGAAGGATGAAATGACATCACTGCTTTGAGTCTAAACTCTTTCAACTTTGAACATTTCTTCTGAATTGATAAATGATTCTTTCAGGTGTTAAGGTTCTGCCTGTTCAGAGCAAACAGCAGTATTTTTTAACCATGAATGTCTCTGAAAAACCTTTTTGATGTATTTTTTTCTGATTTTAATCTCAGAACACGTGTGTTCATGAATGAACAGTATGAATAATCGGAGCAGGGCTTTTATGTTGCGTTTCAGGGCCCACCTGGTTTTGATAAGTCTGGTTCTGGAGTCAACAGAGGGATCCTGGCCTCTCACAACCCGATGAGCCCAGAGAGCTTCAAACTCGTGCACCGACACAGGTCTCTACCACATACACACAAACACACACACGCACACACACACACACACACAGACACACACACCCCCCCCCACACCCAACACACACACACACACACCTGAGTCAGACAAACCCAAACCCCCCCCCCCACACACACACACACACACACACACACCTGGGTCAGCTTTAAATTATCTGCTGTTTCTCCTTTATAATCTTCTACAGTCTTCTGTTCTTATCACACTTTCTGAACTTACACCATTTTCTCTTTCTCTGTCTATCATTCCCAATTGATATCTCTCTATGTTTGGCTCCTTGCATGTTCTGATTGCTGCTGATTATTTTCATTTTTCACTTGCATGAATATTTTGTGCTACTTTGGCCTCTTTTTGCCTATTTTTTTGTTGTTCTGCAATCCGCATGGCTCCTTTCTCTATCATCTGTTTTCCTCTTCCTTCCAACTATTCCTAATTCAATTCCTCTTTTATTAATTTTATTTATAATATTCCTGATCGTATTCCCTCTCCCAGTCCCATTGCTGTTTTGACTCCGGTTCGCATTTCCTCCCCTTCTCTCTCCTCTAACTCCAGTGAGGCAGGAAACCTGCTGATCCTGGCTGACGGCATGGTGGTGGAGCACCCAGAGGATTTCTATCGCATGCAGGTCAGTTTGTTTCTGTCTACAGCAGTGCTGTGCTATTGACCTTCATTTCATGCAGATGCAATGCTCAAGGTTTACCAGCAGATGTCACCATATTTCCATCAGTGTCATACTAAGGAAATATCAATTTCTCCCTCTGTGGTTATTATTTTGCACGTAAACTGTGTTCATTTCTCTCTGCAGGCCAGTCCCTCCTCTTCCAGTCTTAGCTCCACCCACTCTGCGCCATCTCAGATGATAAACTCCACCCCGTCCACAATGAGAGGTAAACAGCTCGGTTACCCCACTACACTGTATCAACAGAGATTTTCTCAACAGATTCACCAACAGAGAAAAAGCTTTGTGTATTTAAGTTCTGTATTTTGTGATGTTTGTGACATTTTGTTTTCTTCTCTCTAATTTAACCGTTCATCTTTGACTCCAGTGGGTTCTCCTTCTCTGCCAGACAAATACAGACACAACAGAGAGATGCTGATGCTGCTGCCGCCCCACAGAGAGAGGCCGAGCAGCGCCATGTACTCCAACATCACAGAGAATGGACAGGTACAAAGGCAGGGTGGATAGTTTCCTCATTTAAAAACCGACGTTCATGTCGACTCACATCACATTCTAAAAGCTAGCCTCAGTTTTCAGGGTTTTAGCCATAAAAGGCACTTTACTAAGACAATGTCCAATCTATATAGGTACCTTCTGGTCTCTGTCTTTTTTCAGCCACCAAACTTTCAGAGAGCCTTGTTTCATCAGGTGATCGGTCCCTGTAAGCCCTGCAGTGACCCCAACCTCTCGGTGGCTGAGAAAGGTAACCAAACATACACTTATCTTTGTAAAATATGATTGAGTCTAAATAGGAGTCCAGGTATTTTAAGCCCCTCTGTGTCTGTGACTCCTGCAGTCCTGACCACTCCCAGCAGCTGGAGTTTGGACAGCGGCACCAGGGAGGCCCTGCCTTTCCTTTCCTCCCATGTTGGCAGTGTGATGGCTCCACCGGTTCCACCCCGCAACGTTCCTCATGGTATGAAGCTGTGGCTGCATCCATCTGTCTGTTCATTTACTTGAATATTTCTTCAGTGATCCACTTGTGGATGCCGATTTCAGATGTGCATGATGCTCTTTCAACATTTCAAATTGTACTCTTGCAGTTGAAGTTCCAAATAAAATATTCCAGTCTTTCTGCAGTATGTTTGTGATTATCTTTATGATGCTCCACACTGGGATAACAAATGAACCTCATAGAAATTAGAAATTTTATCAGATATTTTACATGTGGAAAAGCAGGAACCCAATAAAACTGTTATGTAAAATTAACATTTTGTACATTTTATACTTCTAAAACAGCCCAATCACTTAAAAATATGTTTTTGGCAATAAGTTACTGTTAGTGGAAAATTAGCCATTTCAAAAACATCCAGATTGCTGAGTCACATCCTACTGGCACTGCAGTTACAATCTCATTATGTATGATTTTGTGCAAAAAAATGTAAACATGTTTGGTCTGGTACAGCTCATAGACCTATCCTAACTTGCTCAAGAAAACATAATCAGCTTTGAAATAGCTTTAAATCCCTCCTCTCCATCACACACTCCTCCACCTTCTCTCTGATCTAAAGTTTTCCTCCTCCCCTCTCATCACTTCTTTGCTGCCTCTTCACTCCATCTTTCTCCCTCCTACCTCCTCTGAGATGCGAGCGTGGATCTTTCAGTCAGTCCTGCTGTGTCTCCCCCTGTAGGGCAACACCTGTCGATGCACTTTGATGCTTTCCACCACCAGGTCAGCGACCTCCCTCCAGCTCTCCCTGCGCGCTCCTTAAGAAAGGTACCCTCCTTCTCCTCCTTCTCCTCCATTTACTGCTCCCAGCTCCTGCTGTTAGTTTGGATGCTTGAACGTCTGTCTGTCTACTCCCCTTAAGAATCACATAAATCTATGTGCTGGGTTTCTTTTTAATCATAAATTGTTACTGTGATTGAGTTTTAAAATGTGACCAATTAACAGATTGACAAATAACTTTTTTCTGTCTCCTCAGTCTCCCCTGCACCCTATACCTGCCTCGCCCACCAGTCCGCAGTCCGTCCTGGATGGCAGTAACTCCACACTCTCAGGCAGCGCCAGCTCGGGGGTCTCCTCCCTCAGTGAGAGCAACTTTGGTGGCGCCACCTCTTCCTCAGACCCCCCGGCCAGCCGCACAGACACCTTGGAGTCCGTCCCCAGCAGCCAGGCCTGGACCACCGACCAGGAAGACTCGGACTCTCCTTATCAGCCTGTTAGATACAGCATGTCTGAGCCAGACGTCCTGGAGGGAGTCAAATCGCCCCCTTGCCGCAGCAACTCGGCCCCAGGAGGAGTCAACCCGGTCCAGATTGGCTACCAGATCCAGCCTCAGGCTGCAGGCTTGGGCTGCACTGGAGCTCCACAACCAGATGGGCTGCAGCAGCAGCAACACCAGTTTTACCACCATCACTTCCACCCTCACTACATTCCCCACAATCCACCTCTCTACCATCTCCATGAGCCCCCTCCTGCCCTGCCGCCTAAACCTTACCTCAGAGAGGGCTGCATCCCTGAGGAGGACCCCCTGATCGCCCAATCCGGACCGCCGCGCCCAGCTGTACCTCGGCCGATGCCGCGCAAGATCTCCCAGCCCATAATAGCAGCAACCAAGGATGAACAAGCTAAGGTGGCGTGGGAGCACGGCATTAGTGAGGAGTGAGGCCAGGCGATGGCTTGGAGAAACAGAACAGGAACTTCTTGTTGAATATAAACATGAGAGCAGGAGCTGAAACATTTGAATACTCCTCAGAGTATGGCTCAGCCATCAGTTCTGTACTGATGGCTCAGCTGATCTGCTTTCTTTCAGACTCTGCTCTGCGCAGTGACTCATCCTCAATATCTGAACTTTTTCTTTTCGTCTCACTTCATCACTGCATTAACTGAAATAGCTTTCATTCTTCATCCATCAGGATCAAAACCAAGTGACACTTCCAAATGCTGCCGGTTCCTAAAACTGCACAGATGTCATTTTATTTGGTTTTCCTTTAGAAACCAAAATCATTAGCACTCCATTCTAATGACGGGAATTTCACAGAAGTTAAATTTTTTTATACCTCATTGTGATAATGTTAAGTGAATGGCACTTTAAAAGAGGGACATAACCATAAGATTTAAGAAATATTTTAATTATAGTATATAATAGACAATAACAAAATGCAAACAGTTTTGCAGAGAACCAGATAAAAAAATTACAACATTTAAAGATTCAATTCTTTTTTTTAGAAGCTTAAAACAACGAGCCCAACAAACTGAATCAGTAATTGATCTGGTACATTTAATGAGGGTCTTGATGGTATTTTTCCAGTTGTGAGAGTGTTAAAATAAAAGGGTTTATAAAGTTACTAAATATATAATTTATATTTCAAGTTTATACTTTTGTTTAAAGGTCAAGTTGATGTAGAAATATGCAAGATGTTGGGTTTCTGAGTCCAAAGTAGCTGTTTGATAAATGTGTGTTTGTTTGAAAGGTGGAGAAAAGCTCCACACACACAGACTGTGTGTTTGTTGTGTTTCTCGCAGCTTAACGTTAAGCTGTGAGGATGCAGTGGATTTGTTATGTTTTAGCTAAAGATGGTTCTGAAGTTAAACTTGTAAATATGTGTCTAGTTTTATGTGCAGGGACATTTATAAAAAATGACAGTTATTGTTATGAAAATAACAACTGGATCTTTTTTTAAATCAGGGTAATGTTTGTATGCATGTTTGTTTTCTGACAGCTGAAACTGGAACAGAGATAAATACCTTGAAAGCACTCCAGAAATACTGAGGCTCATGTTGTTCAGAAAATGCAACCATTAAAGTCAGTATTTTTTTTTTTTTTTTGCTGATAAATGATCATATTTGCTTGTATCTTTATTTGTTACATATTGTTAAAGTCACAGAAATGACCTTATTTCACTTGGTTTTACTTTAAGTTCCAGACCTTAACCATTTTTTGCCTGATGCTGGATCATATTTTCTCTGCCATTTGCGTTGAATCAAACCTGTCAATATGTTTTTACTTTCACTCAATGCCACCATCTCACTACTGTAAATAGTTCATTTTAACACAGAGATGTTGTGAACAAATATCCTGTATTTTAGGCTTTGCTGTTTAAGTTAAGGACTCCAGTGTTGGAAATAAATCAGTATGTTATGTGACAGATGTTGGCGACTCTGCCATCAGTTTTTAAAATGTCCTGCTTCTGTTGCTGCTGTTTACACTGATGTAAATGCTCCAGAATCCTGCATGTTGTGTTCACTGACTCAAACTCAATGAATTACAGTTATAATGACCAGTTTAACCTGGGTGTGCTATCCTTTTTCCACCTGCAGATAAAAAGTTGTAGATTATTAACTTAAACTTAATTAAATCTTATCGCCTAACTGATGGATTCGTGTGATGAAGCTGCTCAGGTTCAGTCATATTAAAACTTCTAGCTTCCATACAGAATTTTTTGACAGAAGTTGAATCTAGAAAATGTGTGAAATGTAAAACAGGCTCAGTAGCAGTAAAATACAGATTCCACTTATACTGTTTAAAAATCAAACTATGATCCCAGTAGATTAACATTTGTAATTGAAGTATTATTGATGGAAGAGATCTCAGAAGCTTTTGTACTTAAGGGAAACAGTTTTGGTGGATGTTTAACACTCAGTCCACATCGCTACAATTGCACAACTTTTATGTACTTAATTATTATGGCAGCTTTTATATTTGCTCTGGCGTAAAGAGATCTGCTAGCTTTTTTGAAATATATTTTAAGCTGAACTGTATAAAATATAGTTTTACATTTAAAGGCACAAAGAAATTGAAGCTAGGGGATTTATGATAAAGAAACTCTTCAAAAAAAAAGATGAAAACCAAGCATTTCTTCATTTCACTCTTTATATCAAGGCTTACTTTTCTCAACAATGGTGCATCCTTGTAACAAGGAGTGATAGTAAGATTAGGTTGAAATCAGATGCTCACCTACATTTTATAGAATGACATGTAACGTTTTCTCTCTGTCTGCGACTAAATCAAGCAAATTTTTCCAGTGTAGGTTATTTAAAATGACCAAAATTATTTCAATTTGCTAAATACTGTTAAAATAGGGAGATATTTCTTTTTTAAAATATAATCAGCTTTCTAAATTTAGATTTATTTTTTTTTACATACAATTTACTGATCTGGCTAGACTTATTTCACTTTGCAGGGTTGTAAGAGCATTTGGTGCCTGTCTTCTGCTACTGATTGGTAAAAGGTAGCCGATCAGAGAAAAACATAGACAAACAACCGTGTACTTACACCTAAGGTAATTTAGAGTACTAAATTAACCCAGCAGTCAAGTATGTGGATTTAGGGAGAAAGCCAAAGAACCTGCAGTTCTTATGCACAGGGAACACATACAATGATCTCCCAAAACAATTAACAGAAAATAATTAAATCGGCAACTAAAAGTAAATCTTCTGTTAGTGCATGTTCAAATCCAGCCTTTGTGGAGGGTGAGTTAAGAATTCTGGAGACAACAAATATATCCTCTCCAGAAAACCTTGGTAAACATGTGTTAAGAAAACTAAGGCTATTAGAAGTAGTGATATCTCATAACATAGGTTTTTTAGCTCAACATTAACCTCAGACTCTAATATCACACTAACATCCGAAGATGTTTTCAGTGGTGAGAAAGAAAGCTGTCACTTTTATGAAACACAAAGATTAACTTACATCAGTTTCAGTATTTGAACTGTGAATTTACTTTTATAATTCTGAACAAGTTTCATTTGAAATTCAGCTGTGCAGTCAATCATTTCAGTCATTTGATGCATTTTTCTTCAGCTTGGAAAAAAAAATCTCACTGTAGAAAGAAAAACTGGTGGTTTAGCGCAAAACCAGTTTGTATTTTATTTTGAAAATTAAGAAAAACGAAACAAAAAAAGAAAAAGCACAGATGTCACTGAACAAAATAGAGATTGAAGATGAAAGTCAAAAGCATCAACTGTAAGTGTGTTGTTACAAAATAATTATTTCATATGTAATATCAGAAACATATTTCTAAAAATGTATTGTCTCTGCAGTTTGGTTTAAAAATACATAAATCAAATGAAAATCAAATTTTATTTGTATAGCACATTTCAGCAGCAAGGCATTTGTGTTTACATCATAAACACAAAATCATGCATCATAGAATAAACAATACATTGTTACATATTACATTTCAAACACAATTCTAAACAGGTGTGTTTTTGGTTGAGATTTAAAGAAAGTCAGGGTTTCTGCTGTTTTACAGTTTTCTGGAAGTTTGTTCGAAATTTTTTGTGCATAGATGCTGAAAGCTGCTTCTTCTCTTTTGGTTCTGGTTCTGGGGATGCAGAAGCCGCATCCCCTGTTGCAACTAAAGATAAACGCATGGATGAATTTCTCTAGATCTGGCTGAGACATAAAGTGGCACCACAAAGTTTTTCCTTCACTTTCTCTTTAAATGCACAGGCACACAAGTTAAGTTAAACCAGTCAATAAAAAATGTCATTAAATAAGATAGAGATCAAAATAACATAGCTAGGAAACAAAAAGCAGTCCATAAATTAGATTCTAGTGCATTCATATTGATAACAAGAAAGGGGACTCCTGCCAGTATTTTCTTATAAGACATTATATTTCACAGCAATGCCATTTCACTTTTAAATGTAAATTTCTTCATGCTAAGTTTTTTAACAATGATATATAAAATTGGCCACTAGTTATGGCGACAACTTCCTTTTAAATCATAACCTATTATCCAGAGGTTCTAAAACATTTAATAAGAATAAAATAAAAATGACATCCCTTGTTACTGTGAAAGTTATTCAATTTGATGAAATTAATAAAAATTTGTTTACTGAACAGTTTCTAAAACAGCCAAAAAAACATTTAGCATGTCATAGAAAACAAAGTATCAGATAGAGAGAAAAAAAAAAAATCCAAAAGCTGATGCAGATTTTAAAAAAAGTTTAGAAACAAGTTTCATACAATAGTAAAAAGCTATTTTTTAAATATACAGTTTAATGTCAATTTGTGTGAAGAGTGGAAATAGCCCAAATGTACAATAAGCCATAACAAACGCATACATATCAGTCTTTTGTACTATTCACAACTCCCAGTTCTGTTAAACTCATCCAGTTGGTCAAAACAGACTCCACTGAACCTATGTGTGGAAACATTCTAAATAATATTATAGTCTCTGCAGCAGTTGTAAGCAGTAATGGAGAAATTAGTTTTGTTTCTGCTATGTTGTCTCATATGATCATTGTAAAATCTTAATGTGTCCTAAAAGCAATTTTGAGAGAATTTATCTTTGTGAATATTTCATAAACACTGAATGACACAAAATAATAATGACACAAAATGGGTCCAGTACCAATTATTCTCATTGAGAAATGTCAAATTGATGATTCTTTCTCACATGCATATTTATTTAATCTTAGTTCAATCTAGTAAGGGTTTCCTCCTCAGATCTTGTATTAGTTCTGTCATCTGGCATACCTGCAAAGAAACAAACACATTCCGCTTAAAGCACAATTATTTGATTTACTGAAATACAGAATATGAGGCTTTCTATAAAATTATTTTTAGTGAAGCAAGATTTTGTTTTGACTGCAAAGTTCAAATCCTTCACAGCCGTCATCCACCAGCAAAGCTTGCAGTGCCATCAGCAAACCTAAACAAGTTAAATATAAACACCTGCATGAGATCTCATTCAAAATCCTGCAAGGAAGACAGTAGAAAGAAAGCCGTAACAGGCAGAAATTCAATTCAGTCACATTAACACAAAACAGTAACAAATGGGTCCATTTCTGCTAGCCACCATCTCTGCCTGCTAGCCATCCAGCTCTGCCTGTTCAATAGGCTCGACTTCTGAGTCCCAAGAAGAGGTAAAGGGTGGACATTACTGATGGATAAATACAATGAGATTTATTCTTATGATGTTTCTAGGTATCTTAACATTTGAAAATTTTTTACGAGGATTTGTGCAACAGCCTGGCTTACCCTTTAAAGAATTACTCCAGATCTATGCCACTTGATCAGACCTTTTAGACCCCTTCAGATTTTATAAATTACTGGCAGTATTTTAAATGGAATGTCATCATATAACAATTTACTTCATTTAATGTGCTTGTTTGAGTTAAGGAACTGTTTTGTGTTAAATAAATATTCTTTATACACCTTGCTCTGGCAAAGGATGTTGGCTTGGTATCAAATGTAAAAGATAAATGGAAAAGACTCATTCTACTTTTATTATTAAGCTATGTGCAATCGAATCCAGGTCCAATTTTTAACACAATTGACACACCGGGAGAATTTAAAACTAAGTTAGGTCTTGGTATTATACATATTGTTTAAACAAATCCATCACAGTTTATTGCCTTAGATGGATTTGGTTGAAATTACAATCAAAACTACTAATACTAACATTTTACTATTGACTGAAACATTACAAATCCAAGGTGTTGGATTTGTAATGTACTATTGACAAATCCATTACAAATAAAAATATGTCCTTAGCAGGTTTAATGTTTTTCATTTTGACCACCCTAGGAAAGTTGGCAGTGTTACTATCTATGCTCTCTAATCTGATGAGGTCACCGAGGTGGTTAAAAAGCTCCTTCGTGGCAGGGCCCTAGGGGTGGATAAGATGTCCCTGGCATTCCTTAAGGCTCTGGATGTTGTAGGGATATATTGGCTGATAGGGCAGTTCCCCTGGATTGGCAGACTGGGGTGGTGGTCCACCAGTTTAAAAAGGAGGACCAGAGAGTGTGCTCCAGTTACAGAAGGGTCACACTGTTAAACCTCCCCGGGAAGGTCTGTTCAGGGGTCCTGGAGAGGAGGGCCCTCCGGATAGTCGAACCTCGGATTCAGGAAGAGCAGTGTGGTTTTCATCGTGGAACACTTGACCAGCTCTATACCCTCAGCAGGGTCCTGGAGGGTGCATGGGAATTCACCCAACCGGTCTGCATGTGTTTTGTGGACTTGGAGAAGGCGTTTGACTGTGTCCATTGGGGAACCCTGTGGGGGGTTCTCCGGGAGTATGGGGTACTGGGTTGTCAGGGGCCTGTATGACAGGTGTCAAGAGTCTGGTCCGCATTGCCAGCAGTAAGTCAGGCCCGTTTCTGGTGAGAGTTAGACTATGCCACGGCTGCCCTTTGTCACCGATTCTGTTCATTACTTTTATGGACAGAATTTCTAGGCACAGCCAAGGTGTTGAAGGGATCTGTTTTGATGGCCTTAAGATCGCATTTCTGCTTTTTGCGGTTGATGTGGTTCTATTATCTTCATCAGGTTGTGATCTGGGGGAGGAGGTCCTGCCCCAAGTAGAGGAGTTTAAGTATCTCAGGATCTTGTTCATGAGTGAGGGAAGAATGGAGTGGGAGTTCGACAGGCGTATTGGTGCAGCATCTGCAATTTACTGGTCCGTTGTAATGAAGAGACAGCTGAGTCAAAAAGCAAAGCTCTTGATTTAATGGTTGATCTACAATCTATCCTCATCTATGGTCATAAGCTCTGGGTTATGACCAAAAGAACGAGGACATGGATACAAGAGGCTGAAATGGGTTTTCTCCACCGGGTGTCTGGGCTCTCCCTCAGAGATAGGGTGAGAAGCGCTGTCATCCAGGAAGGACTCAGAGTAGAGCTGCTGCTCCTCCACATCGAGAGGAGTCAGTTGAGGTGGCTCGAGCATCTGGTTAGGATGCCTCCTGGACGCCTCCCTTGTGAGGTGTTCCGGGCACGTCCCATGGGGAAGAAGGTTCCGGGGAAGACCCAGGACACGCTGGAGGGCCTATGTTTCTCGGCTGGCCTCGGAATGCCTTGGGGTTCCCCCGGAGGAGTTGGAACAAGTAGTTCCAGAGAGGGAAGACTGGCCCTCCCTTCTTAGGCTGCTACCCCGACCCCGGATAAAGTGGAAGAAGATGGATGGATGGTAAGGCTGTGGTAATTCTTTTCCTCAGCTTCCTCGCTGACAAACGCATACAGAAAAAGCTGGAAGGGACAACCAAGAACAAAAAAGTTCCGCTGTCGTTGGGGAGATTGCCTCAGCAGCTTTAGCAAGAATTTGAATGACATGATACTCCCTGCCAACTTTCAAAGTTGTACTCTGTTCAATGCAAAACAACCAGATCCTGAGTACAATAGGGGTGGCGAGGGCCAGATTTTAATCATTTAGTAATTGGTACCATAAATTACAAGCCCATCTTTATTAAAAAAGAAAAATTGAATCAAAAGTCAAAATTTGTTTTAGAAAGATCAAATTGTCTTTTGTCATCACTGAAGAGCAGCAAAAGGTGCATATATTTATTTTCCAAATACTGAAGGCAAGTTATATGGTTCAGTCTGCCATGACAAACATTCAAACTTACCTGAAAGTTTTCTTTTATGCCAATACAGAAAATAAAAGAGGGCAAATAAGAAAACAACAAAAATTACACCACCAGCTCCAACAGAAAGTCCATTAAAAAATCCACTGTCATCACCTGAAAGATAACATAATAGGATAACATTACTCTCAAAATGTACCAATAGAATAATCTCTTACCTAACAATCTAAAGCACAAAAACAAGACATATTTTCACTGGTGTCACAAATGACTTAGTAGTGAGTGCTATAGAATTGAAGAACCAGCAATGTCATTATTGATTTTAAAAGATTTTAGAGCACCATTGCATTTTTTTCCAGGGCATTTAACCAATTTAATATTTAAAAATGCGGGCTGGTCAGTTTGTTTCCATTTGGACACCACTGAATATGTATAGGTTTATGAACAAGTCTCCACTTTTGCTTGCTACAGTGAATGACATGACCAATTACTGTAGCAAGTGACTAGAAACATGTGTTCTATGTTTGAGAAGTGCTAAAAGAGTCTCCACTACTGACCAGAACGCCCCATCAAATCATATGAGAATGTCACAGCCTTCTATTTTCCAAAAAAATCAAAATTTCCATCCAAGGCCGTGGGTGTTGAGAGGCGGTGATTTGAACGCACTTCTTCAATGTTTGTAAAAATTATAATTTATTTCTTGGAAAAAATAGTGACAAAAAATACATAATTAAAGTGTCTTAAAAAATAGTCAAAATTAAAATTAATCTTAAAAAGGTGTCCAAGAAAATGCTCCAGAAAAGTGGTCAAAAAATCATTTTACAACCTCCCCTCAACACACCAGACATTTACCAAACAAATTTTTTCCCCGCACCCAGCACCTGGTGTGTTTTTAATTACTCAAATTAATGGGAGGGTCTAACAATTAACATAGTCTTACCAATTCCAAATACAAAAATTATTACAAATGTTGATTCTAAATCAACTTAAATATATTCTAACTACCCAAAAAAGAAAACTAAATTGTTACAAATTATAATTCACAAAATTTAACATAAATGGCCACGACAGAAAAAGTAAACATGCACAGACCTATTTGCCAATTTAGAACTCAAAAGTTTAAGAATGGAGAAATTTGCTGAAAAAAAATACAAAGTTGCTTATTTGGGATTACTTTGGCTTTAGATAAGATAAGGAGGTAAACAACATTTCAGCAAAGGACCCTAACCATCCAGCTGATTATGCTACACAATCAGCTCTTACAAGCTCTAAGGAACATATTTAATAGTTATCAACATGTGAAAAGCTCAGCATGACAAGCAACAACTCATCTAACATATTAGATGTGTTCTAACGTGTTAGACATCTAACATTAGATCTTAGACATATTTAACATCTAACGTGTTAAATATTAATACAAATATAATCATAAGAGATAAAGTTTGTAAAATATATATCTACAAATGATGTAAATAATTAAACATTAAATGATTTTCTGTGGCACTATGTGGTGCACTTTGGTAAAATGAGACTCTGGCTGAAGGTGCCCCTGTATCCTGCCAGCACGTAGTGAAGTGGATGAGACTTGTCCAAGATGACCTGCATCTTGGACAGGATCCTTCTCTCTGACAACACTGTCAGAGTCCAGCTACACTCCAACAGCATGTTAGTTCTATCATTAATAGTCTTTAAAAGTAGTAATTATGCTATAATTGAATACTCCCCTCTTCTTGATATTCATTTTCATCTTTTTAAATAGTTAGCGCTGTTAACTATTAATAGTTAGAGAAGACACTAACTAACTTTATTCTAATATTTTAATGTGCATATTTTTCTTTACCTCTGTAGAACTAGAACAATGTTTTAATCTAAATTCAATTTCTGTGATGTTTAAGCCACGTAAAAAAGAATTATCTTTATTTTACATCAAGTTTAAATTTAAGACAAAAATCCAATTAAATGCAAGTTGAACCATAGTTTAAAAGATATACCAGAGAGGAAACTTACCAGAGGCCACAATCACCAAGGTTTTTGTTGAGTAAATTTGGTGGCATATGCCTTCTTGCTTCATAACACAATGGTATTCATCTTCCTTGGTTACAACAGCTTGAAGGTTGATGTATTTTCCATTCAAAGAATTTGTAATGTTCACAGGATCAATAGGGACATCAGCACTATTATGCAGCTCCATTGTAGGTTCTGGATAAACGCCATGAGCTTCACACTGCACCAGCATTCCACCATCTAGTTTCTTACGAATGCTGAAAGAAGGCTTTGGACAAGTACCTGTAAATATGAGGTAAACAACAAATATAGTAAGAAAAACATAAAGATCAGAAACAAACATGTATTTTTCTTGAAAAAAACAAACAAGTACAAAACAAGTTAATTGACATTTAAGGGGCTATATCAAAAACCACAAATATTTGTTTTGTCAAATATGGTAGTCTACTCTAAGGAATCAATTTTTGATCATTTCATGATTGAGGCATACAGTGAAACCATAAACTGCTCATTACAACACTTCACTTTTCCCACATTTACTTTTTCCCTTTTATTCATATTCAAAAAGACTTCAGGCTGTAATTGCTGCCAAAGGTGCACCAAGTATTGAGGAAGGACTTTGAATACTTACTTGATTTCTTAACATTTTATTTTTCATACATACAACTATGGACACAAGAACTCTTATGGCCAAAAAATATTAGTTTCCTTCCAAACATGCCTCTGTACTTTTACAGTGAGTACATGATGAAAGTAAAAAAGACACAAACAAAGCTTGAAAGCTCCTGAAAGAATCACTAGATATGACTAAAACCTGCAATTGTATTACACAGAAATGCAATGGTGACTACCACTAGTTCAATGAAGTACATAATATGAAACATAAATCCACATAACCTTTTTTTTAAATCTTATAGAGTTAGAAGTAAAAATGTTTTGGCAAGTATCGATAGGGATGCACAATTGGTCAATATTAGCTGTAAAATTTAATATGACGTAAAGAGTGACAAGGAAGTTGTTTTGAGTGGTGTTTCGTTTTTTCCCTTTTCTGTGGAACATAGCACTAAATTAATCACACCTACATTTTCAAGTTTCATTGCGTTAGAATTATTCTACTGTGGCAGTGCAGCTGTGGATGACATGTAAAAGATGAGTCTTTTTGCCCTCCAGCGTTGTGCACATGCGTATTTAAACAATAACATGCATGGGGGTTATATTTGTAAATCTGATTAAGATTAAGTCATTGCCTCATCAGCTGTGGCAATGACTTAGTCATAGCCACAGCAATGACTAAGTTATTGCTGTGGCACAGTGTATTTACCGCACATCACTGGTAAATAGCTATAAGAATAAAATATGGGTATTGGCATCAGTTATTAACCAAATGAGTTTTAGTATATTGGTGTATCGACTAAAATCCAATATTGTGCATCCCTACCTAACAACAATCATGTTACTGGGTTGACTGAACCATTAAAACTCAAAACAGCCCAAGAACTCTAATGCTTTTATAATACTAATACTTCTCTATTTTCATGCCATCTACAAATTTCCCATACATTTCCAACAATCCTACCATTCAGCCTATGTAAAGTATAGAGAAGTAGATGTTGCAAAAGACTACAGTAACAATAAAGATCTGAAATAGCAATTTTTAAAATGCAATTTACCAGTTACCTGGCTACAAACTATAATCGGTACCTTTGTTAAGCAAACATTTTAATCTGCATAGGGAGCTAATGTAATGCCTACCTGGTAAAATTACACAGAACATTTTTTGCAGTGAAATACCCAACAGTTATCCAGTGCTCTGCAAAAGTATTTATACCCAAGAACCTTTTGACATTTTATGTATAAAACAGTGCCCTCTTCAATATTCTTTTACTATATTTTGCTGCACTCAGAGCCACAAAGTCTATGGGGTATGTCTCCAACAGCTTTGTCAAATCTTTGCACACTTATTCAAGCTTAGTAGAGAGGACAGGAAGAAACATTATTTTTTTAGTTTTGCCATAGCTCCTCATCAGATATGCATATTTATGTTTGATCTACAACATCCTCTCAATCTCAAATCTGTGGAAGCCTCCAAAAGATTTTCTGACAGGATCTTTATTCTCATGATTGTTGTGTCCCATACATGACATGTAACCACAAGCTGAACTTTTAATGGTTTACTTTTTGCTACTTTTCCATAAAAGCCAGGTTTTTTGCATGACTTATTATTGTCCTTTAAGATTCTCATAATTGAGGAGCTGATCTCTGTAATTTCACTGGAGGTACAATAAACTTGGCAGCTTTTCTGCTGCTTGTCCAACATTAGTGTGGGGAGAGTGTCATACTCCTTAGCAAAACATAGATTGAACAGTGCTCTGCGATATCATTAATGTTTGCCATACTGTTTAATTACCAAACCCTGCTTTAAACTTTATGGCTTGTGTTTTCAAAAGCTTCCTGTGCGTTGATACCGATTGAGATCAATGACAATAACCCAATGTGATTAATAACTTTTACATACATTGTATCTGATAATATACTAAAACATGTTTAAGAAACGGCAAACTTGTATGTTCATATAAAGGCGCAGATTAATTGTTCATGGTGAAATATCACCGTCACATGGCAGGGAAATGACCTGTGATGTGATAAGAACCAGGACTCACCACATTTTCTTTCTGGATCGTTGGTTCTGTCCTTTAACCATATACAACGCGGAGGTTACATGCGACCTCATATTCGTATGTGACAGAAATCAATATGCACTGTAAGCTTTTATTACAAATGGGAAGGTTGCTATGTCTGATTTGAATTCAAATATTCCAGTTTTTAATACAACACTGCACATTCAAGAAGCTTTGCAGCGCATATAAACATTTTCTTATTATTTTACATCAGGGAACAGTTAGGAACTTCGGTAATCACGTGTTCGGTTTTTAGACGAAGCCAGTTTGGGAATTAAAAAATACAAGCAATAATTTAAAATTACGTTTTTAACAGAATAAATTTGGTTAAATTAATACAAAGATATTCAACTTACCCGAAATAAGCAGTAGATGCGTTTTTTTTTTTCAAGCTAATAAGGACTGAAACTTTTAAGCAAACAAAATCACGACTCGAGAAAATGTTCTCAAAGGGTTTTATCCAATGAAGTTTGTGTTCTCTGAATTAAGCAACCAACCAGGTATGAAACGAACCAATCAGGACATCTATGTGCTGTAGAGTTGTACGTTTACCGAACTTTTTCGTTTGTTAGCCAATCACAGAAGAGCATCTTTCATCACACGACATTTCCGGTTTATTGAGCGTATAGTGCTCAGAGGTAGTTTCCCCCAATATAATAAACTCATGTCAGTTAAATAGTCCAGGTTTTTTGCAAGTACAATCAGTTTTCTTGACATCCAATGTAAACGAATGTTAAAAGGGCTTGTAATGTCAAAGCTGAAGATCAAAGTAGAAAAGTATGTTTCATCTGTAAAAAAAAAAAATATTGTTTTAAGGAGTATGAAAGGAGCTAACTTTATTTTGGGTTTGGTGAGACATAGCCTATATTGAAACTCAAAAATTCTTTACATTAGTTTTAACATCGTTTCATTTTAGTTTTCTGGTAATTGTTGATAAACTATGTGGTCGCTGGGGATGGAGATGTGTTACACCTTCAAAAGGAATTGTTTCACATAGAATGGAGAAAAAAATGCAATAATTTCAAAGTAAACAATAGATCTAGTCTGTGAATCTATGCTTGATCTGTAATGTTAGATGACTGAGAAAATAGGGCAAGTAGTTCACTAGCAGCAAAGAATTTTTAGAATTATTTATTCTAATTGCATTATTCAACAAAGTGGATAATGCATGTTGCTAAGCTAACAAGTTCATTTAGCAAGTTTTATGAAAGCTCCCCCTGGTTTGCTTCACAATAGAAAGACATTCATGTATTACTTTAAAATGATTTTGAAAAAAAATGTAATTCACACTTGCTGATGAAAAGCTGTTGATATGTGTCATCAGCTCTAAGAGGTTAAGATACAACCTGAGGGTGAAACAAAAGGTATATTATACACTTGCGCATACAATATCATCACTTTTTTGTCACATAAATAGAATTTCAGAAGTGTTGTTCACATCTGATTAAGGTGAAAACTGATGAGACATTGAAGCAAACAGTGTTAGGAACATTGGAATAAGATAAATTCAATTAAGAAAAAAACTTTTGATTACAACTGTTCTTGGCACAGTAACCTTCAAAAACAATTATATAATGATATTTTTTCCTAAAATTATACAAATGTATCTCAGGGCAACGATAAAACATAATTGACAAAACTTTCAAAATGATAACATGTTACACTCTAAAGATTCAACAACTCTTTCCAGAACCTCTCAAATGTTAGTATTTTGTGTAAAGAAAGCATCATGTTGATGTATTTGTGTACATTAGAAATGTACACAAGTATAATTTAAAAATCACATAAAAGCATCAAAAGTTTAATAGTCTTGAGATTTCTATCACCACAGCACATGGACTGCAGATAGACATGGCATCCTCTATCACTGAGAAAGGAGAGATTTATTGCGATTGGAAGCTTTTAGTCGATTTTATTTAAGCATCAAATTATTTGTTAACATTTAAATTCTGCATATCATTTTTTCTGTGTTCTTTAGAAACTTAGACAACTAAGGATGATTAACTTATTAAACCACATAAAGTCAAATAACACAAAATAAAAACTTCCTTGGAATTCAATGGCAAATGACTTTGTTCATTAACAGAGATTAATTGTGAAAGTAATGTGATCCTAATCTTTGATGTGAAAGACAACCATTGTTGTGAAATAAGTTAATTAATTGTGTGAGAAATGATAACCATAGGTGCTATAAAAAGTGTTGTTCAAGTTGTTCTTTTCTCTCAAGATTGGTCCAAATGTTTTGCACTTACCAACAACAAGCTGGATGTAAAACTTCTGTCCTTGTGGCTTAAGATGTGGAAATTCACAACTGTAGATTCCAATGTCATTCTGCTGTGTGTTGTTGATTTGAATGGATGCATTACCAACTTGCAGCTGATCTTGGAAAAACGTAACTCGATTTTCAAAATATTCATTTTGACCAGATTTTCCATTGTGGTAATAACTGCCGTTGTCATATAAAAACACCTCCTCTGAATCATTTCTATTCCAGTCGAACACATGATGTCTGAGGTCGTCCTTTCCAATGGGAGAGCAGGGCAAGATGACATTACTGCCCTCTCTTTCAAACTGTTCTAGGAAAATAAATCACATTTCAACAAGTTAAACAAATGGGAATATAGGATGCTTACATATCATACTAATCCAACTTTCAAGAGTCCTTCAATCTTAAATACATTGTGGAAGCTACATTGGGTTGAAAAACATAACATCCCTAAAAATACAAAACAATAGTGTTGGAGCCTATTAAGTATTAGATTAAATTATTAATTGCTAAATAATTAATGTTATTGATAAAAGGTTATGCTAATGGTAGATCTGTTGTTATTTTTTTTTTGTTTATGGCCTCCTCCTTTTTAAGTCAGCCTGTTGCTGTGATTAATAAACAAAAGGAGCTGCTGTGGTTGATCTGATTGTTTGTAGTGAAGGAGTGAAACAGTTTTCTACCACAAAGTTAATGCTTATATTAAAATTTTGCATTACGTCACCTCAGAGAATATTTCTGTTATTTCTATAATAAAGAAAACAACCTTTTTGAAACCAGAAAACTCTCATCAAGTGCTTTTTTATTTTGAGTGAGTCGAGAACCTCCTCTTCAGATACTACTCTGCGGCATTCTGTTTTTTGGACCAAATTATGATGCAAGAGTATCCAATACAAATAGTCATAGATATTTATATTTTTTTTTACCTTAAACATCCCAAAAAATAATGGTGATTCGACAGTATTCTGTTTGAATCCATATAATTTGAAGTTAGCTATTGGCTGGCACATTTGCTGCCAGTGGGACAAAGTTGAGTTGTCTTTCAGGTCTCTGGGTCTGAGGAGCACTAGATTTTTCTCAGTGTCTGTAATTTTAACATACAACGTCAAAAAATTCAACAGATTATTAAATCTGCAGTTTTGATTTCTATGACCTTTACTGCTTTGGTAATGTTAGATTCTGTTGTCAGATGTTTATGTTTTTGCTGCTCTTTGCTCAACTTTAGCTGACTATCACCAATGACCAAGACTTGCTGTGGCATTGACATTATAAGCACATCTTAAGTGCACCAGGAGTCTAGAGAGCACCATAAAAAGGGGCAATAAATAATAAAAAAATATATTTTTAAAACTAATTGGGCATAATATAACTTTCTAATATAAAAATATATTTTTAGATGAAAATCAGCTAAAAAAAACTAATCATCTCCCTGCCTTCATTGCCGCTTCCAGAGTCACAGACTGCACAAATGAATCCATACAACAGCATGTCAATAATCTTAAAATTAAATAAATAAATAAAACATTATGAGATAACTATAATTCCATACTAAGCTATAGGGCACCAAAGGAAAAAAAAAACAAGAAAAGTATGACCTCTGTTACATAACTGATAGGGTTGATTGGTCTTTCTAATTTTTTCTTAGGTAGGTGTGAGTGTATATTTGTGTATGATTGATTTCTTTCTGTCACTGTGTTGCCTTCCGATGGGTTAGCAATGTGTTCAGGGTGTACCTCGACTTTCGCCCATTAGCAGCAATTGGAGCTACAGGCACCAGCCCTTGTCCCTACCCCTTGAGTACAATTGTGGATTAATGGTTAAAAGGAAATACACATTTAAAATCAGAACACTGATTATCCAATAGATCATGTAGAAAATAAATATCAAAGTTGAAAGTGTTCAGAGCTTAATTTTTGTCTTTTGAGATTGTGACAAAAGTCAAATACTTACTAACAACAAGTTTGATCTGGAATGTTTCGCTTCTTGGCTGAAGTTTTGGAAACTCACATCTGTAGATTCCAGTGTCTTTCAGCATTACATTTTGGATCACTATAGATGCATTACCAGAACTTAGCAGATCTTGAAAAAAGGACACACGTCCTTTAAACTGTGAATCTTGACCTTTAAGTCCATTGTTGTAATGATACCCAGCATTATAAAGAAACACTTCATTCTGATAATATTTTCTCCACTTAAATAACTGAGATGAGAGATCTTCCTTTGAGGTGGGAGAACAGGGTAAAATAGCATCACTACCCTTTGGTACAGCCACAGTGATGACACCTGGAAAGACAAATAATTAGAAAAAGGTTCACAAACTAGAATAATGTCTCATTGCCAAAAACATTTGATAGTTTTTTTTTAAACAAACTAAATATAACTTCATGACAGTAATCCTTTTTGAACAGTCCACTATATATGTAGCTTCATTTGTACTAAGACATCTTGCTTTTCTTTCATCTCCTATTTTTTGCATTGAAGATGTGTTATTGATTTAATAAGTATTCATGCAGGCTGCACAGTGGCACAGTTGGTAGCACTGTTGCCTTGCAGCAAGAAGGTCCTGGGTTCGATTCCCGGCCCAGATTCTGCATGAAGTTTGCATGTTCTCCCTGTACATGTGTGGGTTCTCTCCGGGTACTCTGGCTCCCTCCCACAGTCCAAAAACATGACTGTTAGGTAGTAGTTTCTGTTAGGTAAATTGCTCTTTCCAAATTCTCTCTAGGAGTGTGTGTGTGTGTGTGCATGGTTGTTTGTCCTGTTTGTTTCTGTGTTGCCCTGCGACAAACTGGTGACCTGTACCGCCCAGAACGCAGCTGGAGATATGCACCAGCAATTCCAGACTCCACTGAGGTGAACAGAATGGATGGATGAGTTATCTTTTCAGACCCATATAAGCTATATGGGTTTGAAAAAAGTTTATAAAGAATCAGAAGCAAATTCAGAAGAAGGGGAACTATCTTATTAGAGGAAAGTAATTCTAAAAAATTGCTTTTAAAAATTTTCTGGTTATTTTTTTTATATTTGCAGTTTTTTGCTTTCCAGATTTTGAGGGAATTAAAATGAGCCACATGCCAAGGGTCTATGCATTAACAATAACATTTAATTTCCAGCTTGAATTAATACATCAGTTTTGTACTGAAGTAAGTTTAATCAAGTTCAGTTGATTTGATAAACTTGTTTTTTCATTGCTGTAAATATGTTCTCTTTTTTCTCAGTCTGCAGGTGCAAATACCAGCGTTGTGAAGTAAATTAAAACTGTTGGGATAGTCCCTTCTCCTCCCAACTTTTTAAGAGGGCTAATGGATATTAAAAGCGATGTACAGTTATCTTTTATTCACTTCTCTGTACTAGCCAGAGGAGTCATTAGTACATTTTTTGCTTAATCTCTTAATAAAATAACAATTAAAATGCATTTTGTTCTTGACTTAGTGTTTCACCTTAGGTAAGACTTATTTATTTTCTTAACAATTAACAGCACTAAAACCCATCTCTTAACCCAGATTGGTAGTTTCTAGTTAGCAGTGGGAACATTGGGAGGAGGCAAAGGAGCTTTTTTTCCCCCCCAGATCATCCGTTGTTGGAGCTTATTAAGTATTAGATTAATTTATTATTTGTTAAATGATAAATGTTGGTTTTGATCCAAAGTTTTACTAATAATTACAAATGGTAGCTCTATTACTCCTTATTATTTTAGGGTCTCCTTGTCAGTAAGGGCAGCTGCTGTGGTTGATCTGATTGTTTACAGTGAAGCAGTGAGGAGTGAAACAGTTTTCTACACCAAAATTAATGTTTATATTTGAATTTGGCATCAAGTCAACTTGAAGAATATTTCTGCAAAACTGTTTTATTTTTAGTGCACAAAGAACCTCCACCTCCGAAACTAGTCTGACATTCATTTTGTAGGATCTAATGATAATGCAAGAGTAGCCATAAGATCTGTCTCATATACCGTAATAACATAATGACAGTTTCAAAGATTTTACAAAAACATAATAATAATAATAATAATAATAATAATAATAATAATAATAATAATAATAATAATAATAATAATGTTGTTATTCCATTATCATATTGATTTGATGTGTTGTATTGTGTGTTTTTATTTTTATAGCACTTCGTCTGAAAGGTGCTGTTGCCCTTTGGAAACATAGAAGTTTTCTTCCGTTAAAATCTACAAACATGTTACAGTTAAATGTAAAAAGCAAAATGAGATACAAAAGTCCAAAATGTCTGATTCTTTACATGTCAATGAATAATAACCAGCATGAGAAATGAGCGTCGCCACCACTTAATGAACAGGAGATGCTCGGAAGCAGGTGTGGCTTTTAAAGAGGCAGTGCACAATGACATTTTAACTCAGAGATAGGCTCTGCGTTACAAGCATGATACAAAAACATGTTTGTAATACAGCATGCTATGTAAGATCTCAGGACTCCTGAAACATTTCAAAAGGATCATTCATTTAAATTTGTCATGCACACTTTAGTGAAAAATATCTGAAAATTACAAACAAATAATAAAACTATTCTTACCGATTTCATCACCAAGCAATTTTCCAGTAAACGTCAGGAAGCAGAGAGACACACGTAGAAGAAGCTCCATAGCTGTAATCTATCACTTAATCATGTACTCTACAGAGCGCTGTAATGTCCGTGTAGCTACTCCTCTCAGGCTCCTCAGACTGAGTCTTCAACTCTTTCGCTTTCAGCTTCCGACAAGCAATAAAAACAATACTTCCGGTGTAGAGCACGCAGCATTAACAGGAAATGTCACCCATAAAGCTGAGCATTGTCACGCTCATCTTATGCATCCCAATGAAAAAAAATAAATAAATAAAATAAAAAATAAATAAATAAATAAACTTTTGTATACTTAAAACATATTTACGTTTGTGTAAGTACATTTTAAGTAGGCTATATTCTACCTATAAATATATACAAAGTATATTAAAAGCATACTTGTACCAATTTTTACAGAATAACTTTAAACACACTTAAATATAATTGATAAGAAATAATAATTAAAAAAATTAGCTATCCTTAAATTTAACAGAACAAAACAGTTAATGCAGGATAAGACAATAAATGACAATTTAGATTTATAGTGGAACATGATATAATGTTGTTCAACAAAGTAAATGTTTTCATGCCTCAAAATGTCAAACATTGACAGTTTTGTGATAGAGGTTCTATAACAAACAAACAATACTCGTCCTTAACACTAGATGCAGCAGGTAAATTCAGTTTTACGTCTCTCTGAATATGATCTGTTGTTTCAGTTTTTTAACTAAAACATGGAAGCCATTTTTTTACTGTAAACAAAGAACATACAAGAACAACATAGAACACTAATAATTAGAGATACAACATCAAAGGCCTTTACAGAAAATAGAACAATTATTTTAAAATAGAACAATTATTTTACAATTTGAGCTGTTGAGCACATCAGCTCAAATCTGTTGAAGTACTTTAAGGGCAGTTATAATTTCAATGGTTTTAGCATTTGAGCTGATTTTTAAGGATTCTATATAGATATTAAGAGAATATAAAATCTGGAAATTAGGTTTTTGTTGTGAATGTTTGGAGGTGTGAATATATTTACCATAAATAATAAAAAGAGTTAGCAACACATAAAAATTCTGTTTTGACAAGTTCACATTTCTCCATCCCAAACAAAACATCCTTATCTGTTAAAGTAATATTGAGATTTCTTTGATGAAAAAAACTGGTCATATCTCTCCAGAATATTTTGGTATAATTACAATCCCAAAAAAGATAAACAAGCTTTTCTTCATTATTTTTACTGAAAGTAGGCATAGAGTCCAAATCCCATTTATATCTCTTTATCAAAAGTGATTCAACAGAATAATGAACATCCTAAAACAGAGAGATCTCACGGGAGCCACAGATTAAATCTTTGCTCAACTATTTTAATTATGGGGTTAAAATGTTCTATTGATCTTATAATTTGATCTTTAAATATTGTGATTCCAAGATATTTAACTTTGTCTTCTATAGGAATGTTGAGGAATGTGCCTTTTAAATTAGATTTAATGGAAAATAATTCACATTTGTTTAGATTTAGAGTCAAACCGGAAGCTGTGGAGAAGGTGTTGATGATTTCAATCATTTTTAATTTTTTACTTATTTTTTAAAAAGGTGCATTGTCTTCAGGAAGCTGGAGAACTGCAATAGTTCTGTTTGCAACATTAATCCCATTAACTGAAAGAATTTACATGGCCTGAATGAATAGATATGGGGAGACTGGACATCCTCGTCTGAGACCTCTTTTCAAATAAAATCTTTTAGAGCAGCCATATGACAAATTTACAGATTTATTACAATTCCTTTATAACATTTGACAACTTTTAATTAAGATTTGTCCGTATCTGAATACTTTAAACAAAAGTGTATGTTCAACTGTGTCAAAGGCTTTAAAAAAAATCTAGAAATAATATGTGACCATCCCCCTTTATTAAATATGAATAATCTAACAGATCTAATATAAGTCTAATATTATTAGTTATATATCTACCTGGTATGAATCCAGACTGAATTTCATCAACCACTTCTTCATGAGTATTCTTAATTTTTGTAGCAATACAACCTGCAATAATTTTATACTCATTTTGTAGTAATGTAATTGGTCTCCAGTCATACAGAAGAAGCTTGTCTTTTTGGAGTTTAGAGATCAGTGTAATCAGACCTTGGGTTATTGTTGATGGAAGTGATCCAGAAACCAAACTTTCAAGATAAACTTGATGTGAAAATGGCGATAGCATTTCTGAAAACTTTTTATGGATTGATGACATCAGTCCCCGGTGATTTATTTAGTTTTAATTTATTGATGGACTTTTGGATGTCTTCAAGTGTAATCAAGGAATCACAATCTTTATTATTTTTACTAATTTGTTGCATTTTATTTAGAGAGTTAATAAATTGTATGACAGATTCATCAGAACATCTTGACTGATAAAATTCTTGGAAAAAAGCTTCACAGTAAGAAGAGATTTGAACAGGGTCTTCACAGATATTATTGATTTGAAGTTTCATAATACTGTTAGATATTTTGGTGCTTTTTTTTTCCTTCTTCTAACCATTTCCACCTCGATCTGATGTTCGCTTCTTTAGCTTTGGAAATGTAAATATTGACTAGGATCAGTTCTAAATGGTTTAATCTAATATTTTGCTCTTCAGATATATGTTCAGATATATAAACAATTTCTTTTTTTACTTCTAATTCTTCTTTCATTTTTCTTAAAGCAATTTTAGTTCCAGTTTTCATAAAGATTTTTTGAAGTTCATATTTTAGGAGTTCCAAATTTTTACTAAATTCCTTCTGACTGCAAGCTGTATTCCAATACTTAATAATTATTTGTTTAATGTTTTCTTCGACATTTTTATTTTCTAAAAGTGAATAGTTGAGTTTCCAGTAAGCTGTATTTTAATTTTTTCCGTACTGGTTTAATTTTGTTTTTTAATTAAAATAAGCTGGTGGTCTGATAAAGGAACTGGAAGAATCTCCGACTGTATTTCATTAGCTATGAAATCAGACATCAGCCAAAAATCAATTCTTGATTTAAAGGAGCCTGTTTTGTTTTGTCATGTAATTTCAATTTTGGAGCAATTTTTTTGTCTCTATCCATCAGTCAGGCCAAAGGTTGATATAAAGATTCCTAGAACTGTGTTTGGATTTGTATTAGCCTTTGGGGAAAATCTTCAATTCGACTTTCATTAAAAGTCGAATTGAAGTCCCCACCAATAATAATATCCATAAAATGATATTTTCCATGTAAGTAATTTACCCCTTTACTTAATCTATCATAAAGTTGCGTGTTTTCTGCTTTGGTATTATACCCATATATAGAACCCAACAAAAGAATTTCATCATTTATTGATACAACTATTCAAGAGTGAACATAACACATCTCCACTGCAGTTGTTTCGTAATATTGCCACTCCTGCTGATTGAGTAGTGACATGTGCCAGCCATAGTTCGTCCCTCCCACTGACTTTTCAAGAATTTGGTATCATTTGCAGTTTAATGAATTTCTTGTATAAAACAGAAATCAGCTTCAACATTTCTAATGTATAAATAACTTACCTTTCTTTTAGTGTTGTTCCTCAACCCTCGTGCATTGAGTGAAATAACTTTAAACAAAGAAATGCTACTAAGAGCTGTAGCTTCTAACCCTGAAAATTGAGTTACAGGAAAATCTAACAAACTTTCCCAACAGAGAAATTATATAATAAACAGAGCTTTTTTGATCTTAAAATGTCATTATTTAACTGTTAGTTCTGATTCTCAAGATGTCTTCTAGTCATTAGCTGTCATAATGGACTCCAGGACATACCAGGACTCTAAGGCAAGCAACAACTACAGACACTCAAACTGTTTAAATACATTTATTAAACAGGGAAGTGTGTGGAGGGATGTCGATCTGCAACAGCAGGGAGGGACCAGGTCAGTGGGGAAACTGAAAGAGGAAGCGGTTAAAGAGGGAAGTAATGAAGGGAACGTAGGGTAACCTGAGGGTAGCTTACGGTCAGCGGGTTGAGGTAGGCAGAGGGATGTACTTGGGAGTTCCAGCAATTGGCGTGGTGTGATGGTTTCCAGATGGAGGGGTTCCTGTAGGAGACTGAGGGTGGGCAGGCAGCAGCTGAGTGGCGGGTGTGACGTACCCAACGGAGCAGCGAGGATCAGATCCTTCAGGTGAGTCTGTCTCAGAGGGTGTTCAGCGTGGGTTCACACAGTAGAAGTGGAACCATCTGACATCTGAATCTGGGAAGCTGCTCCTCTTTAAGGACCTTGCAAATTGGTGGTGATGAGTAATGGCTGGATTCCATCAGCCTGCCTCCCTGTGAAGGAGAAGAAAACCACTCCCCTGCAAAACTCAACATTAGCAGGTTCAAGTTCTATCCTCTTTCCTCCTTTGTCAATAACAAAGGCTCTTGGACTGATGTAGAAGGCTGTTTTCTTTTTCGCATGCTTTTTTCACCAGTGGACACAGCATGTTTCTTCTCTGATGGTCCTTGTCTGTCCTCCTTGAAGCACAGGTTGGTTAATCTCAGAAAAGATGACCACTTCTCCACGCCTTCCATGTCTTCCATCCATATCCTTGTAGTTTATGTGTGTGAGGAAGCGGTGATCGGGGTGGTCAGTCCTTACAAAGATTGGAGCATGATAATCAAAATGGAATAAATCGATAATTGTGACAGAACAAAGAAATGGTTTGGAGTTGATTGGTACATGATGAGATTCCCCGAGTTAACCCAATGTGGCCCTTTACCATCACTAGTTTGGCGTGTTTTATGATAATAAAATATGTTTATTATTATTAAGTCTTTGGTGGAAAAATCTCATTGAAAATTGGTTTATTCAGTGCATATTTGTGTCTGTTAAGTTTGAGATGGAACTGAACATGAAAATGGCTTTTAAACCATTCAGACAACCAGAACAACAGAGACACAATCAAAACTGTCAGATGACTAATTACCCCACAATAATAACTCAAAAGAAAAAAAAAATAAATCAAACAACACTTAGCCTTACGGGGAGGCTGGTAAAGCATGGCAGGCCACAAGGCTTATGAAACATTGAGGAAAATCCTATCTTGTCATCCTCTGTTAGAAGTTTAAAGAAAAAACATGTATCCTTTGATAGTTTGTATAAATTAGATTATTCTCAATGAGAATAAGTTGCATTTATTTATTTATTTTTTGACAAAAACAGCTTTCTGGATTGTTTATTTCACCATAACAGCAAACAGAGAAAATGTTATTTTGTATCAGAGGTTGGATACAAACATATCTATAAGACATTGAACTTCTTCTGGAGGTTATTTGACAAAATAATGTAAAAACTATATCTAAAAAAAATATCTAAAACTTTTTTTTGTTCTAATTTCATAACCAAAGTTATTAAATATACCACTGTGGAAAGTTTAACGGGTTACTTGCAGATCCAGGGTTGCAAATACCTGGTCTAGGTGATTATTAATGAAGAAACACAAAGCAAAACTAATTTCTGATGGGAAATAATCTAAAGAAATTGTGCAGCACAGATAAATAAAATAGCTTGTTCGTTATTTGGAAAAAAGTTAATAGAAAGCACATGTCTGTGTGAATAAGAATAATTACTTCTTAAATATGTTGAGCGTTTTTTTTCCCTTTTTTGTTACATTTTAAATAGAAACAATATTATTTATTATTTTATACATTCAGCCAAACTTTTCATTTGATAGTGTGAGTTATTTTATGGTGTATGGTAGTAATAATGCACAAATATTTAAAACTCTCAATATGTTAGTTACAGTTTTTAATTCCATAACAATACAGCAAAATAACCACTGAAAAATCTTTACAGCTCTTCTTCCACCTGCAAAACTGGTTACATAAATTTGTCTATCTTGCAATAATAAAGAACAGAAAATTCAATACAATGGCTTCTATGGATATTACATTTGGAATAAATTCAGCAATAGCAGTTTATTTACAAATTTTATTCTTGTAAATTAAAACATTCATGGAAACAGAAATTCTTTAGTTAAACACACCAAAAGAAAAAAACAGTAACAAAAGATTTAAAAAGTCTTAATTTCTGTAGCGGACAAAAAACAAACTATTACACATTTTATTAAAATGTGTAACAGGTAAAAAGAAGTTTGATGAAAAATAAAATACAGAGAAGTTACATCTGCATTCACATCTGAGTTGATTTTTCACTCTTTATCACTTTTGTGATGTAAGCAGAAAAACACTCAGATTTTACTACCTAGAATTATATGTTGTTAAAAGCACTCAAATTACATTAAGAAATCCATTAATGTGAGATTAATGGTGATTAACCATGTTGTAACTTTGTCACAACATGGCATTTGATTTAGTTCAACTTTAGTTCACTTCATATATTAACCTAATTTAAGTAGTATGAAGATAAGGTCAAAGTGTATAGAATTTTGCAGTGAAATTAATTAAGCGGAATATGATTTTCATTGTTCTAAATACATTTTTTTTTAATAAAAAAAATGCTTCTGTTTAATTACTTTACTTGAACTCTGAATTATGCTCCAACAAATATCTAGTGACATATTAAAAAAACAAAATAGCAGAGATCTGCCCTCGACGTCAATTCTTTCACCTTGTAATTTTACCTGCAATTCACCAGAGAAAAAATAAATAAACTTTATGTTATACAAACACAAAATTGAGACTCTAAACTCTATTCTCTTTGTTGTAGGTATTGCAACTCAACAGCTTAGGGCTTAAATTGAACATGGCACAAGATTTATAAAGAAATCTGACATTAGCTTTTAGCTTGAGAAACACAATGAAATATTAATTCAATAAAACACAAATACAGGACCACATTAGTTTGGGACAGAAACAAAACAGTCATCCTTTTTTGTTAGAAACAGTCCTTGTGATTAACTCAAATTGTTAAGAACATGTGAACATGTTGATTTTAATTAGTATGTAAGCAATAAGAGACACGGAAAAGTTAAACATTTAAACTTACCTGGGAAATCTTGAAATGATGGCAGCAGGAAACACAGACTAAGGCAACAAGTCCACCACTACCAACAACAGCAATAAGAAGAATTTGATCTGAAACATATTACAAGATAATGTCACTTTCACTGCTTAACAAATTATCAATTTCCTCTATAACTCATTCAAGAATAACTGATTCAAAATTAAATTTTGGCTACTATGTCATTTAAAAATCAGTAATGACTGCTTTATCAGTGATGACTGATTTTCTTATTCAGTAATAATAGAATCTTATATTCTTACCATCACACACTTTTGCTTGAAGAAGTGTGTCGATAACACTGTTTGTTGTTTTAGTTGTTTGTTTGCTAATTGTATTTTCATTCTTTCTAAGAAAAATTATCTTTATTTGGATTAGTTAATTACACAGTTTTGATTACCTTGAACTTTTTAAAAACTGCTGGTAAATGGATTTACTCCCATATTACCATTGTTTGCCTTCTATCCCCCATATTAAAATTTGAAAACAAACAGAAGGTCCAGCCATTTGTAATGGTAACTGAAATCAGTGGTAAATAACATGAATAAATATTTTATTTGTTTGGAGTTGCAACAAAAAAATTAAGAACAACAGTGTTTGGAACAAAGACATTATTTTCTAAATTAAATAAAACATTTTAAGATATTTTCAACATGATCTTAATCTGAGTTTCTTCTAATTCCAACTGAAAAAGGTTGCTTTACTTTAGAGACAATTTAGAGTGATTCTCTCCTCATGAAACTGAACTTCTTATTTAGATTAGATTAGAAGATCTTAGAGTCACACTTCTTGGTCATTATCACTTTGCACCATCAAATAAGAAAGATCTTTTTAAAAGGTAATCAAATTTTAATTTGATTATATTTGGCCCAGAACAAGAATATTTATAATTTGATAATTTAATATCTTTTGAGACTTAATTCAAAAGTTTGAAAGTATTAATAGTTTTTTTTTTTTTTTTTTTTTTTTTTTTTTTTATTAAAAATTTTAAAATTTTTAAAATTTTTTTTTTTTTTTTTTTTTTCTGTCTTATTCAACCAAAGTAGAAGATTAACTAAAGATACATGCTTCTCTCAGTAACAACCTGGGTTTAGTCATTTTTACAATTCCTCTTTTGGTAGCATGTTTCATTTTTAGGAATTTTATTTTTATTGGTTTTAACAGGAAGTTCTTTACTTTTAATTTTTTTACTAATCTAATCAAAACCAAGAAATTTTAGCTATTTTAAAAATTGGTAAAACATGTCGGATTCACCGAATGAGACGAGCTATACTGAACAAAAATATAAATACCCCATGTGAAATATTGTTGCCATGTGGCATTAACAACTGTAAACATGCATTTGCTGACATTTTATTGTACACAAGTAATATTTCTCTTTATTTGTGTATCATTTTAATCCAACTTGTTGTCAGTGAGCATTACTTAGTGAGTTGTTTTTTTTACTCAGTGCATGGGTAGGTCATGTCCAGTGGGTGATCAGACAAAATGAGCAAAAGCTGGAAAATCTTTGGACAGGGGACAATAAAAGGGCACTCATAATGTCTCAGATGTCGCATGTTATGAGCGAAAGTGCCATTGGCATGTTGGATGCAGGGATGTCCACCAGAGCAGTAGCTGCACGGTTCAATGTTCATTGAGACTGACACTATACTGCAAATTGACCTTGTCCTCGTCGGCCACTTGTGACGACTCCAGTACAAAATTGTCACATCCAGATCATCCATCTGTGGGATTGGCTAAGACCAGTGACACACACAGCTGATGAGACTATTGGTCTGCACAACAGACGCATCTTACCTCAGACTGTCTAACCGCCTACGAGAAGCTAACTTGGTCAAAATCTAATTGACCAATGTTCTATGACCAATGATTTTGAATTATTTGAATTCCTTTCTTAGATCGACCCAGTTCCTCCATTATTATTATTATTATTATTATTATTATTATTATTATTATTATTATTATTATTGTCACAGTTCTGATTACAGACACTCTCAGTGAGTGCCTGTTGGAGACAACCTCAAAGGAAGCGGATCCAAGTGGAAGACCATTTGGACCAACCCATAGATATAGTCTGCATTAGTGGAAGGCCTTAGTCCTTTGAACCCTGTCAAGTTCAAAGGACTGCCAATATGCCCCAAATGGCCATATCACAATAATATCAACGCTGATCTGAATATCAGTAATTATTGGAAATACATTTTGACTTTGAGTTGATCTATATATTGTGTGAGCCAACTGTTCATGAAACTATAATTTTTGATATGGGGTGTTTATATTTTGTTCAGTGTAGAAAAAAATCCCTCCAACAATAGGGAGGGATAAAATAAGGATTACATTGGAGGTTTTAATAGTTTCACTAGACATAAGGGCCAATGATTAAAGTTCTTTTTCAATAATATCTAGTGCTAATTAAAGAAAGATAGGATCAACACTGACCGCTTTTCTTCCTTCTGCTCTGTTCTTTGACCCTATGAAAAACAACATAGAAATAGCATCAAATACAGTAAGCTATTTTGTCTTTTTATTACAGCAGAATATATCAGCAAAAAAAACCTTCTCTGTCAAAAGCTTAGATGTGTTTCACTAGAATTACTGAGTGTAGGAAATTATTTACCGCGCGTTAACATAATCACTTCTCCTGATTCAGAAAATATATCCATTAACTTGTAGCCCAATGTATTTCTTGTTTCAAAACATTAAACTGAAACAAATGTTTTACTTGTTTAAACTAAAGAAGCAGACTGAAGAGTTACAAAAAAATTACAGTATAAGTCGAAATAAGCTTACACAAAAGTACTACACAATATCAGTAAATATACAAAATACTGTCAAAATACTTTAACAGTAACCAAACCACATTAATACCTCTGAAGTAATTAATGTAAAGCTTACCCGAATGAAATAAAACCAATCAGACTTATAATAAGTCAAATTTAAAGAAATAATTTTTATCTGTTAACATAAGCAAATAAAATTTTTGTACATTATGGGTGTTTTGATCATCCATTGTATGGAGGGAAAAAAGTATTGTAAATCTATATTGTCTTGAGAGTCTGGACAAATTTAAAATACAATTGCTTTTAAATGTAAAAACAAAATGCTTTTCTTTAAAATCCGTATCATTAATTTGCTTTATGTACCCCTTATGTATTCATTTTATGCTTTGTCATTGCAGTGCTATATACATAAAATGCACTTACCTAACTTAAGAGTTTCTGTGTGCACACAGACTAGCTTTTTCTTCTTCTAAATCTATTACCAGGTTGTGTATAAAGTTTGCTAAATATTTTTTGTTTGTTTTTGAAATACTTGCCAGTCCCTTATACATAATTACTCTATTTTAAAAATATCCTAACAGTATTTTTTCTTTTATCTGTTTGAATAATTTGTTGCCAGTATGACTTTTTAAAACTCACACCAATGTCTATGTTTTTAACTCCTTCATATCCACTCTGAAGACAATAGAAAATAAAGAAAACTTAAACAATAATCATTAAAAAAAAAACAGTGTTGGTTAAACTTACCTGCAAAGTGTATATATGTACTTTCAATAGACTTATGGTGAAGTTCCTTTTGTGTAGCTATGCATGTATAGTTGCCTGTTTTGTTTACTATGGTCTCCAGGATGAAGTTCTCATGACTGGCAACTACTTTATCCAAAAGCCTTTTCCCAGAATGATCCTTCCATTCTACAGAGGGCTTCGGAGAAGCACCTGGAACTTTACACCACAGCTGGGCCCAGTCATCATTTTGATTGATTGTTGTAACTGACGGTTTTGCAAGTACACCTATAAACAGAAATGTTATTCCACAAATTTAATATTCCCTAGATTGTTATCCTTCCTATTTTCGCTGTGCTTCAAACTCATCCATTTACACAAGAAGCAAGAACACAGTTTGACATTTGATCAAGTATTCATGATTCATCACTGTACAACAATCTCAAAACTGCTTACATTGCTCAAAATCAATTAAGTTATGTGAATTTAACTTAAGCCTTTGAATATGCACTTGAAACTGAAACAAGCTTTAGGTCTTTATGGCACAGTTTTCTCCATGCAGATATTTTTTCCTACTATTTGTTTGTGTGTGTGTATATATAAAGTGTATTAAGTGTATATAAAGTGTGTTAAGAAATGTATATAAAGTGTGTTAAGAAATTTGTTTAGCCAATACATAGAAAAACAACATTTGGCTTGTTATAAAAGTCTAAAATACTGCATTATGCGGCAGGCACTTCTGTTTCGGTCTCAGTTATGATTAATCCCAGACGAGCTTCTTAACCTCTGCGGTTACTAAATCGTTTTAGGTCAAATACTGTTTATCATTACAAACTTCAAGGTTCGTCAATTAGGCTATATCACTACACTTAAACTGCTGATCATTGATGAGCAGTTTCTTATTTCGCAAGGATTAAAAATTAACCCGATTGTTATTGACGTAATCAGAAACGTAACTCACCACTTGTAGTTTCTCCAGTCCTGTCCTTTAACCTCATAAAACACGAAGGTTGCATGCGACCCGATATTTAGCTGGAAATACTGTCCAGGCATTTACAGACGTTTCTTAAGCAAACCCGCAGTTGAATCAATCTCGTTTGTTATGCAAAATTTCTTCAAATGCGGTTCCAAACCTTCAAACAGGGTTTTTCTATTCAAATATCTCCGTATGTTGACTACCAACTTGCCAGCCTACATATCAACAGTAGTTAAAAAGTATATGTAACCCAAACAAATAGGTTATATAAATTGCAGCTGGTCTACTATGATAATCGCAGAGGTTGAGTATCCAGCTTCTAAACTTTTGTGCAACTTAAACTGAAACGCAATCGTTTATTGTAGGATTTCAGCGTAATCTAAACGTAAAGGCTAAACTTCCAGACTTTCAAAACCTATGTGAACAAGGCTTCCATAACTTATTCGACAAACAGCCTGAATGAAGCACGTTATTTCTGAGGTCGGTAAACAAACAAATCAATCACGTTTTGTAGACCGCATTTAGCAAAGTTAGCATCTGACTTTGCCAGCCAACAATAATTATATGAGAGGAAACTACACAAGCAACATTTTGTCTTTATATACAGATATCTACTTTAAGAACTCTGTGGTCAGCAATATTATATATAAATATATAGGCTATGTATATATATAAAATATATATAGGCTATAATTAATCATCCGGAAGAACAACTTCGTAACTAAGTGAAATATATTTTGTTTCCTTGTAACACATAAAGTTAAAAGATAATAAAGTTCCAAATTCACAGAAAATCTAAAAGAGTTAATGGTAATTCTGTAATACTTTATGCTTACTTGTGTTTGGGGTGGGTGTTGGGGTGGTGGTGATTTTGATCCGATTTTTGTTAAAAACTGTGGCCATCTGCTGGTGACTCTATGTGTTGCACTTTTTAAAATATAAGCTTCTATGACTCACTGAGTAATAAAAAGCACATATAGGTGGATGGCAAAACAAGAGTACTATCCTGTGAATTCCAGCTTGATAAGTTGTATTATAATATATAGTTAACATATTTAAAAACTGTGTTAGAACAATACATTTGACCTTACTCTTCTCAAAAAGTATCCATCTTAGTTCAATAAGTCTAATTATTAGTCTAATCTATCCCATAGAATGTCCACTGACTTTCTTTATTAGATGTAGCAAACATATTTTATTTTAAAAAGGTTTGAAATTTAAGAAAAGCACAAGCTGTCTGAAATAAACCTGCAAATATACATGGCTCTACTCAGCTCTAAGAGGTTAAGATCCAATCTAAAGGAGAAAACAGAAAGTGTAGTTGTTTATGCAATATCATCTTTGCATTAACATACCCTGGGAAACAGAAGTTCAGAAATGTTGTCCACACCTAGCTTACATAATAAATAAGACAGTGAAGCAAGCAGAGTGTTGGGGACATCGTAATGTCAAAAGAAATGAAGAAAATGTGTTTGATCGAAACTGTTCTTCTTACAGTATCTTTACAAAATAAAATTGTAAGTACATTTTGAGGTAAAATTATGTTGCTCTACACCAGAGTAAAGATCAAACCTATTAGATGAGAGATTTTCAAAATGATAAAATATTGTAAAAAACATTTAACTTATATCCCTCCAGATCTATCTATGACAAGAACTTCTTAGATTTTAGAGATTTGTACACAAATATAAACATGGGTTCAACTTACATAAAATATGTATACTAGTATAAATATATTAAAGTATATGAACTTTTAAACAGTCTTGAGGTTTTGACAGCCACTGCATATGGACTGCATATAGAACATCCACAGCCACTGAAAGAGCTTTTCAATAACGTTGTAGTACAATTTAATAACCGTAAATAAAATATTTAATGTTAACATTTAAATTCAGTTTTTTTTCCCGGTTCTTGACAAAAAATATAGACATATGATAGTAACTTTTATGTTAAAATAAATACACTTTTAAAAATAAAAGTGATTAAGAGTGAAAGCAAATTTATCCTAATTTCAAATGTGAAATGAAAACATCAAAGTTAAATGAGTAAAATGTTGTACATAAAATGATAATAGGTATTTTAAAGGGTGGTGTTCGAATTGTTCCTTTCTTTCGAGATTGGGCCAAAACCTCTGCACTTACCAACAATAAGTGTATGACTCTGGACAGGTGGAACTGGAAATCCACAACTGTAGTTTCCACTATCAGTTACCTTTGTGCTTTTGATAAGTATGGAGGCATTGCCAGATTGCAGCTTATCTTCAAAAAACTCTACACGGTCTTTGAAATTTTCATCTTGACCGGTTTTTTCTTTGTTGTTGTAATGCTTGCCGTCCGCATAAAGAAACACCTCCTGTTGAGCATCTTTCTTCCAGTCGAACACTTGATGTGTGAGGTCCTTTCCAGGGAGAGAGCAGTTCAACCAGACATTACTGCCCTCTGTAGTCACTTTTGAAAAATGTACAAAGACAAATAAAACTTTAACAAGTTAAACAGATAGGAATATAAACAAATACATATCATGCAAGTCCAACAAGCCAAATTATTCTGTTGCCAGGTGTATCAGCGTCATTCAACCCTAAAAATCTTGTGGAAACTACATCTGGTCAGGCAAGATATATTCTTACAAAAAACAAAAATCATCATACAAACTTTCATCATTCAATTATTTTTTTCCCACTGCATCCTATAAAATGGTGGAAATTATTATATTATATATTATCTGAATATAGTTTTTGCCAAAAGAGAAGTTTCTTAAATATCAATATTATTTACTCAAATACTTGGGGCTCAAATGTTCAATTCAAATGTGTAAAATAAAACATTCTAATCACAGATATTTGAGAAAAAGACAACGTGTTAGTCCACCACACAACATTATTAGTACCTGGAAAATTTTTCTGTAATATATATTTAAAATAGGTCAAAAACTGTATTTTGCAAGAAGATAAAACTTTCCTCCAAAGAATTTATTCCAAAATGAGCATCGCTGTATAATTTTGTTTTTGAACTGTGGAAAAACCCCACAAAAACAAAGCAGTACGGAGTTTAATGAGGAAAGTACTCTTGTGTGCTCACAGGATAGTAGGTTAAGTATACCAATAGGAGAAAAAAAAAAAAAAACGTGGCAATTTTATTTTCAGGTTTCCGTTCCCATTAAACAATTCATCTTTGTTTCTTTTCTAAATGCATTTTTTGCCTTAATTCAAGAGCTTTAAATTATATGTATAATCATATATACAGTATAATAAAAGATTCTAACTGATTCTTTAATTTTTTTTCTGTTAAAACCCACAAGCGTGTTAGTTTACTGTAACACGCGAATTGAATTATGAAGCCGTTTAAAACGTCTGATTCTTGACATATAAATGTACAATAGGCTAAGCAGCCTGAGAAATTCAAGCGCCTGTATGGCAAGCCATTTTAACATAAATTCGGTTTTGCCGCCCTTACATTCCAGATATCTCAAATTGTTTTATGACTAGACGTTTTTAGCAATTTAAGATATCTACTGTATAATTCTATTTTGACTAGACAAAATACCTATTTGAGATATCTAATTACGTTCTGACTAGTCAAAATGACGTCAGATTTACCATTGATTTGTATGGGGACTTCAATTCAAGATATCTACAATGAATTACTGACTATCTGAAATACACATTTCAGATATCTACAATTAAATTATGAGTAGTCGAAAAGCAAATTCAAGATTGCTCGATTGTAGTTTTGACTAGTCATTATTCTAATTATGAAAGGTATCTCTAATTAGTTCATAATTCAAGATATCTTAAATGTATTTTTGGATAGGAGAAATGTAGTTTTGATTAGTGGAAATTAAATTATAGTTATCTTAAAAGCAAATAATGACTAGACAAAGCTAGAGATATCTTGAATTATAATTCTTACTAGTCAGAATGTAAATGCGGATTACCATTCCGGATAGTCAAAATGTAGTTTTGTCTAGTGAAAATGCATTTTCAGATATCTGGAATGTAATTACGGATAGTCAGACGGAACCGAATTTATGTCAGACGGAACCGAATTTATGTTAAAATGGCTTGCCATAGAGCAGGACATTCTGCAGATGGCCTTTTAACGAGGAACTGCACAATGACGCAACATTTCATTATACGCTACTCCATTGCAAGAGTGATACAAGCATGATAACAGCATTGTCATAGCATTATTGCAATAGTGAGGGTTGCACATATACATATATTTCTGTTCAATTTATTTTAGCAGCGAAGCAAATATGACAACAGCCCAATGTTCCATAAGCAAATACGCACCTTAATACTTTGCTTAGGACTCTTTCTACATTTAAAACGGATCATTTATGTAAACTTGTCAAACATATTTTAAGGCAGAAAATTGTAATATCTGAACATTATTTTAAAAATGTGAAAATTCTTACGGATGACATCAGCAAACGTTTTTCCAAGAAACGTCAGGAGGCAGAAGGACACACGGAAAAGAAGCTCCATTGCTGCAGTAATCTGTCATTAAATCATGCCATCTATTCAGCGCTCTGTAAAAGCGCTGAATAGATGTATCCTGTTTTGTAGCCACTCCTCTCAGACTGAGTCATCTTCAAGTCTTGCTCTCTGCTTTCAGCGGAAATTATACTTCCGTCGGTGCAGAGCACGCAGCATTAACAGGAAATTTCACATATAGCTATAGCTGTTGCCACACAGCTTATTCAACTAAAGGACTGTTATCATTTTTTCAGACTTACATTAGATGCTCAGTGAGTACAGTTACAAGGCCTAGCAAAAATAATTCTTCTCTTTCAATCTAAGTACAAAAGCAAAGCCCACTTTATAAATTTTCATTTTAAAAACAAAACGTCATTTTCCTTCCAATTCAAAATTATGCATCATTATTGTGATCTAGGAAGGCACAGTGGCGCAGTGGGTAGCGCTGTTGCCTTCGATTCCCGGCTCGGGTCTTTCTGCACGGAGTTTGCATGTTCTCCCTGTGCGCGCGTGGGTTCTCTCTGGGTTCTTCGGCTTCCTCCCACAGTCCAAAAAAAAAAAAAAACAAAAAAAAAAAACATGACTGTCAGGTTAATTGGCCTTTCCAAATTCTCCCTAGGCGTGAGTGTGTGCATGGTTGTTTGTCCTGTTTGTCTCTCTGTGTTGCCCTGCGACAGACTGGCGACCTGTCCAGGGTGTACCCCGCCTCTCACCCGGAACGCAGCTGGAGAGGCACCAGCAACTCCCGACCCCGTTAGGGAGAAGGGTGCTCAGAAAATGGATGGATGGATATTGTGATCTATTACGTACAATCACAGGTTTGTGACTGAAATGTGACAACATATGAAGAGGTTAAGTGACATAAATACATCCACAAGACACTGTACCTATATGGTTCCAACTCTGAAGACATTGTGTCTAAAATGTGTGTGGTGACAAAATAAATCTTTAAGCTCACTGTGCTTACGTGACCAGCTGCAAATAATTATGAGCAAGCGTATTTAGTAAGAAATATAACCTGGTCTGTGCATAATGTATCATCCCTGCACTATAAAGAAAAAACAATCTCTAATTTACAGCAAAATACCAGCATATGTGGTGCCAGGATTTCACCGTAATAAATATGGCCATATTGTCTGAGGCATTACAGTATATTATTTTAGCAGCCGTCATTTTCACAACTGCAAGCTATTTATGGCAACCTACTATATAAACAAAAGATAGACCATAAGCATAAATAGTGTACACAAGTGAAAACCATTGCAGAACTGCATGATACATTGACATTTTATTACAAAAATTACCTTCATAGTAAATTACAGATAGCTGCAGTTGCCAGAATTTTGCCATGAAAATTACAGTACAACACGCATAGAAATGTAGTTTGTCAGCATTTCAAAATGGAAAATTATATAGGAAGTAAGTCCAAAGTAAACAAATTTACAGACTGTGATTAATCCACTTAAACAACCAATTTATATTTAAACATTCAGTTAAGAAACAAGAATTCATTCAATTTCCTGTCCATTATCCTCACAAAGTATTTTTGAGATCTGAAAAAAATCAGCATGTGTCCAGATTGGATAATTCACGGTGGAAGAAATACACGTGACAAAAGGACTTGATCTGGGTTGATCAAAAGTAACAAGTCACCAAGTACAGACTTTGCTGAGCAGGCTGTGCAACATGGTCATTGTCCTCCAAGTGCCAAGTCACCAGTTTAGCCTGAAACTCATGTTTTCGAAAAGGTGTTTACTGCAAGGTTCTTTCTGTAATTGGAAAACAGAAACAAAGCAAAAGTTAGAATGATGCATTGCGCGAACATCATATAAACTCAGAACTCATTTAAGTGTTTGTTTCATCCTTGTTGACTTGCACATAGAGATTGGAACAGCCTGTGGTGTTGTCATTTCTGATTGAAAATTCAGAAGTTCTACAACAAGTGTTTCTCTGACCCTCTCTCCATCCACACAAAAAAACATCAGATACAGGTCTGTTTTTTCAGGGAATTTTCTATCTTCATCCTTGAATCCTGTTTTGCTTTACAGCTTTTTTATTTTTTGACCACTCATTCAGGATAGAAGACACAAAACAAACTTAATGTAGAAACACCCTGGTCTAATACCACTGCCCAACAACAACAGAAAAAAAGCCTAATGGGGCTTGGAATAAGGTGGATAGGCCCCTGTGTATGGATAAAACATGATGCAAAGAAACACATACAGCGTCTGGTTGTCGTGAAAAAGGTCTATCAAATTGATTAGTCATGCTGTCAATATAAACTGGTGTCCTGTCCAGGGTGTACCCTGCCTCTTGCCTGGAATGTTAGCTGGAGATAGGCACCAGCACCCCTCCCAACCTTACTAGGGACAAGGGTGTAGGAAAATGGAAGCTGTCAATATACAGTAACTGTGCTATGGAGAGATAATCTGTCGTAAACTATGGCTAAACTCTTGGTGACAGAGTGACAAATTATAATTGTGGGAAGAGACTGGACAAAATTCACATTTATGCTTTTACTGTTGGCATGGTGATTCAGAAAGAAAAAGACATAAATGCAGAGAATAAAGTGAAAATAATATTATATTATAATTTTACTGAGAAAAATTCCTGTGGGGTTAATGAATAAAAAGTAGGGTGAGGGGGAACTCCATCAGCATTCTATTGTGGGTCACAAACCATATCCTGATGTTGGATTGATGGAAACTGGCAAGTGTGCTGAGCTTGTTTGTCTGTTTTACCTTCTAACACCTCTGTCACAGCCTCACTTCTCCTTTCTTCTCTCTGGATGTTGACGTCGACCAAATCCTTGTCCTTCAGTTTTCAGAACTGTAACATTGTGTTGTGCTCTTGATATGGACCATGAACCAAATGATAATCCATGAGTTCACCTTCAATCTCTTTCAGAAAATTGGTTGATTGTTGGTTGAGCTATGGTTCACAAAATTGGCTAAGTTTGAGAAACTCGGGATTCACCAGGGAGCAATTTACCATTTCAGGACAGATTTAGAAAAAAACTACTTGAAATAAATAAAAATATGACTGACATTGTGGCAACTCGTTCGATATTTTTACATGGTGAGACTTATACAATGAACCTATGTTTAGGTTGAATGTTGTGGAGGTTCCAGCATTACAACAGACTTGTTTGCTAATATATTTTGATTAACATGACTGCAGGCTTTAAAGCAATGGAAAAGTGTGAAAAACATTTCACTTTTCTGCTTATGTACAAGCAGAAAAATTTACACAATCACTTGCATGAGATTATGCAAGTGATTTGTACAAATGTACAAAAGCATTTGTCACTCACTCAAAGTAATGAGAAAGCTTTTTTGATGTGCACAAGTCTTTAATCTTTATTAAGGATAGTGCACATTAATGAAAAATTAACACGACTGTATAGACTGTAAATGAACCAGATTATAGCATAATTGCTATTTTCCATCTGTAGTCCTAGACAAGGAGACCCAAACAACAAAAAGACATTATAAACATACAATCAAGAATTAACAAACATTTAACAAACATTAATAAACATTCACAAAAAACACAGTAAAAAGTTAGTTAAAATGATGACATGTCTGGGAAGTTTTAATAAACAGTTTCAGGTGTTTTTTAAAAACGCTATAGGTGGAACACTCTCTGATCCTAGCCGGCACACTGTTCCAGAAGTGACTCCCTCTGACTGACAGCATCGTTTGCCCAAATGTTGTTTTTCTGTAAGGTCTCCTCTGGAAGACGCCCTGGTGCCAAGACCTCGCTCGGCTCTTTGCTTAAAATATATTGCAAGCAAATAAAGTAAGTTAATTTTGAGAGAAGGGCCTGATGGTTAACTGTATCGAAAGCTTTCTTTAAGTCCAAGAAGACTGCACCAACGCAGGTGGTTTTATCAAGCTGAGATGAAAGGCTGTCTGAACGGAACAGAATATGGACTGACCAGGAATCAGGTTAATCACCGTAGGTACAGCACCTGGCACCCATCACTCATGAACTGGCCAACAGTAGTATTTAATACGTCATTAAAAGCAGTGGTTACTTTTTTTGGGTGTCAACTACAAATCAAGTACATATAATTGTTAAATTATTATTGAGAAAACATGAACTTTTACTGCTGCAGAAACCATAAATATTACAGATTTGACTTTAACCTATTTCAAAAGTTTTTTTTTTTTATTCAAGGTTAAACGTTTTTGTCTTATTAAAGATTTTGTCTGAACAAGTTCTGATTTGATTCAGAAGACCTTGAAAAACAGTCTGGCATAAGAAAACTTGCTTTTTGTGACCTGGGAAAAATGCCAGAGAAATAATGACAAACCCTGGGAATTTAATATTTTATACTTATTGACTTAATACCAGAGTGTGTAAAGTTAAATATTCTGGCATTTGGCACACCTTCAATTTAAGATGTCCACTGACACATATGAAGACAAATTATTACACTGTTTCCATTTGCTTCCGATGTGTTGCAACAGTCTTTCATTCCTGCCAGTTGTGTAAACATTTGAACTCTGTAAAGCCCTCACAATGGTGCAAAATATGTGGGAATTATAACATGTTTTTGTTCTCATTGCACTCTTATTTGTTTTTACCAGAAATGCAAACGGCAAAGTGAATGGACAAGTCTGAGCAAGTCAGCACATTTCACTCTGGCTTCCTCACTAGTGAGAAAGAATCCCTATCATGGAGTAATGATTCTCCAAGTTGGTGAAAATTGTTAAATGTTGTTATGTATATAACAACTGTTGTAAACAGAATAACATTTGTTATATACAATAAATGTTAAACACTCTCTTTCATGGTAGTGAGAAAGCAGGAGTGAAACTGGCTGACTTGCTTATACTTGTCCAACCATTATCCCTTTTAGGTTTTGCATTTCTATTGAATCCTGAATACGTCTTTCCAAACATGCTTCATACCAGAAATGCAAACTCCAAATGGGACATTTGATGGACAAATATAAGGAAGTCATCAAGTTTCACTTCTGCTTTTTCACTACCATTAAATACAGCAATTAACATTTCTTGGAAATATGTATGCAGGACAACAGGCAAAATCTATTAACTTTAACAACATTGCACAATGACGGAAAATGAATCAGGCCCCTTGCACTTTCAGGAAGCATTTTATTTGTACCAGTGAAACATTAATCAAAATGAGGCAGCTTCTTTGGAAACTCTGTCCTTTCAAAAGGGGAGGAGATGTCCTCAGGTTTTCTCTTTTCTAAAACCTGCATGGTGGC